GCCTGTGGACTGGTCAGAGCTCCCTGAGATGACAGATGCGGGTACACCTGAAGGAGAGAGTAGGAAGCACCTCAGGGAAACCAGGAACAGTCTGGTTGGGAGCTGACCTGATACAAAGTCAGTGTGTTGTGGGTGGATCCCTGCTAACTCAGTGGCAGACCACTCTGCCACTGGGCTGGGGCATGGTGGAGTTGGGTGGGCCCATATTCCCCCTGCCACTCCACCCCTGGGATGGCAGTATCCCCTTCCTTAGGCCAGGGAGCCTGTGCTCCTCTGACCGTACCTGAGCCCCATACACTGCTTAGCTGCTCTGCCATGATTGTGGGCCAGGGCCCACTCATTGCTTTGCTGCCCTGCCTGGGGCTCATAGACTGCCATACTGTTCTGCTTTCCGAGTAACAGCCGTGTTAGTCTCTATTCGCAAAAAGAAAAGGAGTACTTGTGGCACCTTAGAGACTAACCAATTTACTGTTCTGCCTGGCTGGAGGATCGGAGCACTAGATGAAGCTAATTCTTCTTTTTGAGCTCCCCTTTACAGGTATGTGATAGTGAGGTCGCATGGCCTTTCTGAGTGACAGGGAGAGACAGCCATGTAGCATACAAGGTCAATTTGTCTTCATATGCCCCAAAGTAACTTTAATAATGTCCACAGTATTATGTAAAATGCAGATCAGCTTGCGTACAATCTCCATACAGTGGACTAGTTTGACCCATAGTTCTTGGATGGTATTTTAGAAGTTAGGTTTCTAAAGGTTTTTTTTTTTTCTTTAATACACTTCTAAGGTCAAGAGTGAGGCTGTTAGTCCTAGTTGTGCCTTCTTCAAGTTGCCATTTAAATGGTGAATCCTTTTCCAAACAGATTATTTTTGTAGACACCATACTGAGGCTGAAACTTAAATCCATAAATGGTCTAGTGTCCAGATAACTCAAACATTTACTGTTGTGATAAAAGATTGAGTTGTATTTATATGCTAGCAGCAGAAAGCACTCAGTCTCAGCCATATGGCTTGGAGGATCTTTAGAGAATTTACTAGATGCTTTGCTATAAAACACCTGGCATAAATTCTCACTGTTTGTACACATTCCCCATACTTCAATACTGTATATTCTAGAAACAAGTATTTTATTATGTTATGAAGACTTGTTAAACACTTGCTTTACTGCAGCACTAGAAGCTTATAAATCAAGTCATTTAATTTTAAAGGTTCCCAGTACATTGATTGCTAAACAAACAGCAGGATGTTTAAGCCTTTGCCGCCTTTGCATCCCAGTGTGCTGCAAAACATTTCACACACTCCCTTTGCTACGCAGCCCTTGTTATTTCAAACCTGTTGTCTTTGTCCCCCCTGCCCCTACAAAGAGCATCTTAGAACTTGCCTTCTCTCCAGTTGTAGATGGGGCTCAGGTGTGCTCTAGGTACACTGATGATTTAACACCATTTCAGGTACCTCCCTACAGAAGCTGGATTTCAACAACCACTTGCCTGAAGGATAGAGGTTTCCAGAATTTCTAGTGCACATCAGCTGAAAACATGTTAAGTGTTTTCTTCCAGGCTCTGTTTAAATGGGATACTTTAGTGGAGGAAAACAGGATGCTTTGTATTCTTATATAGACCTACTTAGGCTCCAATTCTACAAATGTTTGTGCACATGCTTACCTACTGTGAGTAGTTGCATTGAGATCAATGAAACAACTCATGGTAAAACTGAACATGTGTGTAAGAGTTTGTAGGATTGGGGTATTGGATTGCAAGCTTCTTCTATGTTTGTATGTATATTGCCTAGCACAGTGGGGGCATACTCCATGATTGGATAGACAATGCAATAATTTGTATTCTAGTTTGTCATAGTTGCTCATGACCTAAACACAGTCTCCTAACAGAATGCAGGAAACCACTATGCTATACGCCTATTAAGAATGAAAATGCATACTATAGACCTTAAGCTAGGAGGGGACCATTAAATCCTCTAGATTGACCTCCTGTGTATCAGAGTCCCTTAAATTTCACCCAGTTACTCCTGTATTCAGTCCAATAACTTGTGATTGACTAAAACATTTCTTCCAGAAAGGCATCCAGTCTTGATCTGAAGAAATGAAAAAATAGAGAATCCACCACTTCTGTTGGTGGTTTCTTCCAATGGCTCATCACCTTCACTGGGGGACTTTTTTTCCTCATTTCCAATTTGAGTTTCTCTGGCTTCAGCTTCCAGCCATTGGTTCTTATGCCTTTCTCCACTAGATTAAAGAGTCTGTTCATACCCAGGAAGTTCTTGCTATGAAGGTATAATCAAGACACCTCTCAATCTTCTTTTTCATAAGATAAACATATTGAACTCTTTAAGTATCTCACTGTAAAGCATCTTCTCCGGCCCTTGAATAATTTTTGTGGCTCAACATGGAGCAGGTGAAGACCAAATCAAGCTTAATTTCTGCTGTAAATGCTTCACTCTTATGATTCTAAACCTCCTCACATGCCATTTATTCTCTTGCAGTGGCAGAGTATATTACTCAGCCCCTGCAATTCATTCTGCATGGATGGACCCTGCATAGAATTTCATGGCACCACGTGTAGGCACATGAGCCTACGATAGTAATTGCATTAATTTATGTATCCTGTGCTTAGATGCTATACTGCTACTATGAAAACATATGAAATTATGGACATATATAGGAAGTAAAACTTTTGTCTAGGGAAAGGGGCAGTTGTTAGTTTTTATACACATTGAATTAACAAGGTGTATCGAGGCATTGCTTATGTTGATTCCCTTCCCCCTAATTTTTGTATCTGTCTTTAAAGACTGTAAGTTCTTGTACGTCTGGAGTGTCTGGCACATGTTAGGTGTTACTGTTACTCCTGGGGGAATTCTGCATGTGCACAGAATTTATATTCCCCACTGATTCATTTGCCTGCAGAAAAATGACTTCCGGCAGGGAAGCCACAAAAGCAGTCATGCAGCTCTCCCCAGCAGTATGTTTCAGGTGCCTAGGGCAGCTAGCAGAGAGGTAAATCACTGTGGGGCACAGGTGGGATTGGGGAAGACCTGGCTGGTGGCTCCTACCCTGCACCAGGCTCAGCTTCTAGTCCCTGCTGGGCTTGGGGGAGATAGAACTTCCTCTTTCCACTGCATGCCATTTGACACTGGGTCAGACCCACCCCCAGATTTCTCCCGTGCTTGCAGGAAGCTCTGCAAACTCCTCCCCCATCCCCATGTGCTTCCTGCACCCATTACTCCTCAGCTGCAGGGAGAGATCTCTCTACAGGGAGCTACTTCCCCATCTGTGCATCCAGCTGCTCCTGCACCTTGATTTTTTTTTTTTCCAATGAGCCCCACTCCTCCTGGACCACCCCACAAGCTGACCACATCTGGATTTTCCCACCCCAACCAGCTGCACCTGGATCCTAACTTCATTGAGCCCCATTCCCCCAGCATCTGGGCCCCCCACACTCAGACCTCCCCCAGCATCAGGGCCCCAACCACTTTCACCTAGGCCCCCCCTGCAGAGTCCCATTATCATTGCACCCAGAACCCCACAAGCCCCTGTCCATCTGGATTCCCCCCACTGAGCTGCCCTCACCCAGATTGCCCCACACAGAACCTACTCAACTCACACCTGGATTCCCTCCACACTTGGCTCCTGCTTTGCAGGCACCTAGTACAGAGGGACAGAGTGTCTTTGGGGCAGGCCCAGTCCTTGCACTGTGTCAGGGTTGCATGCAGCCTCACCGCTGAGTTTACATCCCAGGATAGAGGAGCTGCACAGTGATCTCCCACCTCTGTGGAGCCAGTGGCCTGTGTTTCCACAGTGCTATGCTGGAGACACTTTTTTTTTTTTTTGACCAATAAAATTTGCAGAATTTTAAAATATTTGGCACAGAATGCCCTCAAGAGTAAAATTAGCAGAATAACTTTTACTGGCAAGGACCTGCTAGGTTCCTTATACAAGTCCAGAGGAGATGTATGCAGGAAGGACATAATTTATCTAAATGCTACAGTAACAGGCACCCTCAAATACTTTGATTGTGAAAGGTGAGTGAACAGAAAGGAGAGATGGCTTGTACTATTTCTAGCAGATCAGCTGAAGGGCATGATGACCAAAGGATGAGGATGCTCTGAGGAAAGGACAGCAACAATGAGAACCTTGTTAGTAGGACCAAAGTTTCCTCCCTTTCTGCACAGAATGTAGTGCAGCCTCTGACAGGCCATGCTTTCTATCTCTGAAAGTAATGGTTTTCACTTTTGATGTCATCCAGCTTGCAACGTACTTTAGAGATTCAGACATGGTTTAAAAAGTATAGCAAATGCAGGGAATCGCTTTTAGAGTTCCAGTACCTGAAGGAAAACTGGCTTTTTCCTTAGCAATTGCAGCTGTGCTGCCAAAATGTGCAATTCTCATCTGTTGGAGTTGATAATCAAAAACCAATACAAGCATTACTTAACCATCTTCATCTCTACACTCCACAACCATTACCCTACCTTATGTAAGTGCAGCAACTGTTCATACAAATCAGTTACAGTTATTCTCATTAGGGGTGTGTGAGAAATGTTTCCCTCTTTCATCGCTCCCCAGAGAACATTCTTCCCACCCCCCACATACCTCAAGGAAACTCTGGGAATAACCCACCCATGTTTATAATATCTCAAAAGGTCAAGAAAATATAGGCCACTTCAGTGGATTATTTAGCAGGGATACTGCATAAGAAATGATGCCAGTAAATATACTTGGCAATTTCAAAACCTTTTTTCTTAAACTAGTTTAGCTGCTTTCTGCTAAAGGTAAGCTTTTATTTGGAAAAAACCTAGCTACCTTCTAAAAGGTAAATGTTAATCTACTCACAATATGGGAATGCATCAGAATAAACCCTTCTCCATCCTAACTTCCAACATCTTGTCACTCCATAGTGAGGACTCAGGTGTGAGATTTCAATAAAAATATTAAATGACAACCTAGTAAAATCAGTAAGAGCTTACCTCTATAAAAAGGCTGCACTGATCAAAACATTAGCTTTGTGCCATTCATTTTATTCACTAATGTTTCACTTACAATTCATACAGAACATTTTAAACAATTTAAGAATGTTAAATAGTGGGTTTTAAAAGGCCAGAGAACCAGTATGTGATCTAATAGGTTTTTCTTTTTAAAAAGTCTAAATTTCATTTGATTTGTGAAAACTGTTTAATGTTTTTAAAATTATTGTAGTCTGTCTGACAAATGATCCATTTAATTTCCCCTTTCATTAAATTATCCACTTTAGAAATTAAAGCACACAGAAACAATTCTATCTTGATAAGACAGGAGTTAAGACTGAAATTGTTCTCAAATATAACCCATTCCGTTAAAAATTTAAGACTAAATTCTGCTTATCTTGCCTGTCAATCTTCAGAAAATTACAGTATCAGGTAGGGCTTTTAAATTTTCAGTGTTGCACAATATAAAACCAGATTTGATATTCTCATTCAAAAAGTCTGTTTGATCCTACACCATTCAAAATCTACCTTCAGTTAGATATGTGATTTTTTAAAAAAAAAAAAATACTACAGTATGGATGATGGAAAAAACAGGCTGTACCCACATAACTGCAGCATGTACCACTGTACAGCATAACACCCTATTTTTAATATTTGAGATCTGGATGTAATACTCTTGCATGTACATCACAGCTGCTCTCATATCAACAAGCTTTTCTCAGAAAGAGTGATGTTTCAAGTCATAAGAGCAGGAAGAACAAGAGGATGACACCTCTGAAAGCATAAGTTTTGTGCATAAGTTTGACCCATGTTGAGTCACTGGAGAGTGAAGCTAAAAAAGATTAGGAGTACTTGTGGCACCTTAGAGACTAACCAATTTATTTGAGCATGAGCTTTCGTAAGCTACAGCTCACTTCATCGGATGCATACCGTGCTTAGGTATCTAAAGTTTGATTGAATATAAGTTTAGGGTGTGGGGGTTTTTTTTCTGAAACCCTTCACTTTCAAAGGCAAATCTGAAGAAACTTATCAGTGGTTTAGCTTTTCATTTAATCTTCTTTGGGTGTCTTAGCTGTGTAGTGATCAGCTTCCAATTTCAGGTCTTAGATTCTTAGTTGCGAACCATATGCTCTGGGACCTGCAGTAACAGAAGACAAGCATGATATAATTATATTGTAGTGTTCTCTAGTATTGCAGAGCTCTTTATTTTAGCACAAAGAGAAGCTGGCCATATATTAGCAATAGATATATTCATGCTCCTAGAAGGCCTTTGCAGATGAGTTTGGCTACGTGCCTGTTGCAAAAAATGCTCAGAAAACTTCAATTCTGGCTAGTTTCTCAAATCTGCAACTATAGCATATGTTTTACAGAGACTATTTTCAGTTGTATAGTGCAGTAATTCATGCTATTTTAAATCTGTTACAATTATTGCAGAGTTTATATCTGTCATCAAACCATGTCATGTTGCACACATGGAAAAGTGATCCTCTCTCTACCCCAAGTTTCTTGGTTGTTTTTATGCACTTTTTACTACACCAATAGCATGGTGCTGTGGGTGAGGAGCACAGAAGCAAGACAGTGCATGGGTCTAGTCCTTGTTTTGCCAGTGTCTTGCTGTATTGAGGCAAGTAACTTCTCCATTGGCCTGCTCCGAAGACCAGGCTCAAGGTCTTCCACAAGCACCTCCCTGTGGCTCCACCCCCCAGACTGACTACACTCTGCTCTTTTACGAGGCCCAGTTGTCCATTAAACTATCCTCTGATACCCAGAGTTACACTTCCTCAGGCTGAGAAGCAGCTAATTAATTATGGTGCAGTGGGGCTGGCTCATCTCCCCTTAAAAGGGCCAGGCACCTAATGACAACAGGTTTCAATTATTTGCTGAATGGGGGCCTGAGTCCACAAGCTCAGTTAGGAGCACATCTGTCTCCTTCCACTCCTCTACCCACAACAGACAGGAGGAGACAGGCATCCTCCAGAATATATGAATGTTCTGAGGCTCAGAAGGAGGTAGACCAGTTAAAAATTTGAGTAAAGATAAAGCGAGGGTGGGTGTGGAAGGCCAATAACATGGTACTATGGACTATCAAATCAGGAAGAGGAGGTGAATGAGGCATTTCTAGATCAAAAAATCCAGAACACAAGACCTGGTTCTAACAGAGGACCCAGATATCTGTTGGAAAAGTACTACAGTAAAATGCAAAAAATTCCAATATGATCTTGGAGTGTGTTGGGGACAACTTATTATTTCCTCCACTGTCTGAAATAAGGAGTGGTAGCCAGATAAGACTGGTTTTTGACTAACAGAACAATTAGTTGTGAAACTGAAGATGGAATGCAATTTGGGTACAAGAAGGGATGAGAGCGGTAGAATAAAGTTAATGGTGTGTGGTGTTTGTCTGTTTTTAAAAAAACAAACAAAAAAACCCCCCTGAGAATTAGTAGGTAAGTTTTCTGGGGGGAAGAAGAGATCTAAGGGGAAAAAGGGAGTTCAGGAGAACTGGCAGTTTCTCAAAGAGACAAGTTAAAGTCACAACAGCAAACTATCCCAATACAAGGGAAAGATCGGAAGAACTGCCAGAGACCAATGTGGCTGCATCAGGAGCACTTGAATTACACTGAGGAGTAGCCCGGATTCCAGATCACAGGAGATGCAGGGGCCCAGGTACTTGTGGACACCCCAGAGAGATTGCAGTCGCTGCCTGAGGAGCCCAGAGACTCCCAAGACACCATGACTTCAACTGCAAGAGTCATGGTAGGAAGTAGCCCAGGGAGGGACTAGCCAGTATCCTGGCAGCAGTCTGCATGTTGTGGGCCAATTCCCCGCTGACTTAGTGGTGAACCCATTCACCATTACCAGGGCCCTGAGCTGGGACCTGGTGGAGCAGGGAGGGCCTGGGTCCCCTTACCTGGCTGCCCCCTTTGGGGGGTGGCCCACCAAACCAGCTCCCATTAACTAGCCATTAGGCTGCACTTCCCCACAGCCAGGGGAACCCTACTGACTTTAGCCATTAGGCCATGTGTCTCTGCAGCCTAAGGGAGTCCTACGGACTTTGGCTGTTGGGCCAAGCTTCCCTGCAATCCAGGGGAGTCTATTAGCTTTAACCACAGGCATACCCTGCCCTTTCCCCACCTCCAGGGGGATAGGGTGTACTGGCCCCACAACAAGGGCAAATACAGTAACTCCTCACTTAATGTTGTAGTTATGTTCCTGAAAAACGAGACTTTAAGCAAATCTAATTTCCCCATAAGAATTAATATAAATGGGGGGAAGGGGACTAGGTTCCAGGGAAAAATTTTCTTGCTAGACAAAAGACACATGCAGTATAAGTTTTAAACAAACAATTTAATACAGACACAGCAATGATGATTGTGAAGCTTGGTTGAGGTGGTGGAATCAGAGGGTGGAATATTTCCCAGGGAATGCCTTACTAGTAAATGATCTAGCAATTGCCTGAAACCTCAAGGGTTAACTCGTTGTTGTAGCCTCACACTCTACAAGGTAGCAGGAATGGAAGGAAGGGAGACTGCATGGCAGAAGAGAGACTCACTCTGTGTGTGAGAGAGAAAGATGTGTATTTTCCCCTTTAAGTATGCTGACATCACTCTTAAGTACACTACCTCCTTAAAAGAAAAGGAGGACTTGTGGCACCTTAGAGACTAACATTTATTTGAGCATAAGCTTTCGTGGGCTAAAACCCACTTCACTTTAGTCTCTAAGGTGCCACAAGTCCTCCTTTTCTTTTTGTGGATACAGACTAACACGGCTGCTACTCTGAAACTACCTTGTTAATCAGCAAGCTCAGACCACTGCAGCTGCTGCCAAAGACTCCCTCTGTCCTGAGCCCTGTTGTGTGGTCCCCCGATCTATGGAGGAGAGGTAAGCGGGGTCCAGGGGGAGGGGGACGCCCTGACTTAAGATGCCCTCCCCCCCGCACCCAGCAGGCTCTGGAAAGCAGCTCCAAGGCAGAGGGCAAGAGCAGCACATGGCAGTGGGGGGAGGGACAGCTGAACTGATGGCAACTGATTGCCTGCTGGGTGGCTGCCGCACAGGGAACTTAGGGGAGTGGGGAGCTGAATGGGGGGAGGGTGGGGCTGCCGGTCCACCCTGGTTCCAAGCCCCCACCAGCTAGCTGCAACATGCTGCTCTTCCTGCAAGCAGTGGACAAAGCAGGCAGCTGCTAAATGACACTATAAGGGAGCATTGCACAACTTTAAACGAGCATGTTCCCTAATTGATCAGCAAAGTAACAATGAAACAAGGTTAACTGGGACTACTTTAAGTGAGGCGTTACTGTATTGTACCTATCTTTTTTTAAAAAAAAAAAAACAAACCCAAGGCCATTATAGAGCAGTCATCCTAACTTTGAAATCTGGAAAGATATTTGAACAAATCAATTTGTAAGTACCTAGAGGATAACAGGGTTTAAGTAATAGCCAACATAACTTGTCAAAGACAAATCATGCCAAACCAACCTCATTGACAGGGTTGCTAGCCGTAATGGCTAGGGGGGGGGAAGTAGTAGGTGGGACATTTTGATTTTTAGTAAGGTTTCTGACCCAGTCCCACAAAAACTAGGGAATGTGGTTTAGATTAAATTACTATAAACTGGGTGCATAACTGGTTGAAAGACCATACTCAGAGTAGCTACCAATGGTTCTCTGTCAAACAGGGAGGATGTATCTAGTGGGGTTTTGCAGGGGTCAGTCCTGGGTCTGGTACTAATCAACTTTTTCATTAATTACTTGGATAACAGAGTGGAGAGCATTCTTACAATTTGCAGGTGACACCAAGCTGGGATGGGTTGCGACCACTATGGTGGACAGGATTAGAATTCAAGACAAGCTTGACAAATTGGACAACTGGTATGAAACGAAGAAGAAATTCAATGAAGGCAAGTGCAAAGCATTACACTTAGGAAGGAAAAATCAAATGCATAACTACAAAATGGGGAATAACTGTCTAGGCAGCAGTAGTAGTAATGCAGTAAAAGATCTGGGAGCTACAGTGGATCTCGAAAGACCCAGCAATGTGATTCAGTTGCAAAAAAGGCTAATATTCTGGGGTGTATTAACAGGAAATCCTATATGTAAGACACAGGATGGAACTGTTCCATTCTATTCCACACTGGAGAGGTCTCAGCTGGAGTAGTGTTCAGTTCTGGATGCCATACTTTAAAAAAAGATATGGATACACAAGAGAGAGTCCAGAGGAGAGCAACAAAAACATTACAAGGTTTAGGAAAACCTTTCCTCATAGATCAGGTTAAGCTGGATATGTCTAGTCTTGAGAAGATTGAGGGTAGGGTGACCAGATGTCCTATTTTTACAAGCACAGTCCCGTTTTGGGACTCTTATAGGCACCTATTACATCCCACCCCTTGTCCCATTTTTTCACCGTTGCTATCTGGTCACCCTGGACCTGATAAGACACCAAATATGATAAGGGAACTTATGAAGAAGATGGTGGTCAATGGTCCTACTTTCAGTAAACATGGAGAACAAGTAGTAGTTGGCTTAATCTGCATCAAGGGAGATTTAAGTTTTCCATTAGGGAAAAAACTAAGTACAGGATATTCAAGCACTGGAACAGGCTTCCCAAGGGAGGTTGTTAGGACCCTGGTCATTAGAGGTTTTTATGAATAGATTAGACCAGACGTTCTCAAACTGTGGGTTGTGACTCTTTTGATGTGTTTCAGAGTAGCAGCCATGTTAGTCTGTATCCGCAAAAAGGAAAAGGAGTACTTGTGGCACCTTAGAGACTAACATTTATTTGAGCATAACCTTTTGTGAGCTACAGCTCACTTCATCGGACGCATGCAGTGGAAAATTTTATATACACAACATGAAACAATGGGTGTTACCATACACACTGTAACAAGAGTGATCAAGTAAGGTGAGCTATTACCAGCAGGAAAGAAGAAAAACCTTTTGTAGTGATAATCAAGGTGGGCCATTTCCAGCAGTAGACAAGAACGTGTGAGGAGCACTAGGGGGGGAAAAAAACATGGGGAAATAGTTTTTACTTTGTATAAAGACACATCCACTCCCAGTCTTTACTGAAGCCTAATTTAATGTTGTCCAGTTTGCAAATTAATTCCAATTCAGCAGTCTCTTGTTGGAGTCTGTTTTTTGAAGGTGTGGTGTTGTTGTTATGTTGTGACTTTTAGGTCTGTAATCAAGTGACCAGAGACATCAAAGTGTTCTCCGACTGGTTTTTGAATGTTTTCTTTATGTCTGATTTGTGTCCATTCTTTTATGTAGAGACTATCCGGTTTGGCCAATGTACATGGCAGAGCGGTATTGCTGGCACATGATGGCATATCACATTGGTAGATGTGCAGGTAAACGAGCCTCTGATAGTATGGCTGATGTGATTAGGCCCTATGATGGTGTCCCCTGAATAGATATGTGGACAGAGTTGGCAACGGACTTTGTTGCAAGGATAGGTGTGTGGTTGCTGGTGAGCATTTGCTTCAGGTTGGGGGGCTGTCTGTAAGCAAGGACTGGCCTGTCTCTCAAGATCTGTGAGAGTGATGGGTCATTCTTCAGGATAGGTTGTAGATCCCTGATGATGTGCTGGAGAGGCTTTAGTTGGGGGCTGAAGGTGATCGGTAGTGGCATTCTGTTACTTTCTTTGTTGGGCCTGTCCTGTAGTAGGTAACTTCTGGGTACTCTTCTGGCTCTGTCAATGTGTTTCCTCACTTCAGCAGGTGGGTAGTGTAAGAATGCTTGATAGAGATCTTGTAGGTGCTTGTCTCTGTCTGAGGGGTTGGAGTAAATGCAGTTGTATCGTAGAGGTTGGCTATAGACAATGGATCGTGTGGTCTGGATGAAAGCTGGAGGCATGTAGGTAAGTACAGTGTGTATGGCGACACCCATTGTTTCATGTTCTCTGTATATAAAATCTTCCTACTGTATTTTCCACTGCACGCATCCGATGAAGTGAGCTGTAGCTCACTAAAGCTTATGCTCAAATTAGTTAGTCTCTAAGGTGCCACAAGTACTCCTTTTCTGTTTTGATGTGGTCAGCAGGGTTGAAAGTAGGGGGTCACTTTTTTCCTACTAAGGGGGGGGGTCATGATTTTTCCTAAGTCCAAATGGGGTCACCAGCACAAAGTTTGATAAACACTGGACTAGACAAACACCTGTCAGGGATGGTCTACGTCTCCTTCATCCTGCTTCAGCACAGGGAGCTGGACTAGATGACTTTCTGAGGTCCCTTCCAGCCCCACACTTCTATGATTTTCTACTCCATAGGATAGGAGCGTAAAGGTGTCAGGGCATGCCATCCTAAGAGCTGTGTGTTTCCTATGTTGTAGCAATGTGAGACAAAACAGACCAGCTGAGTTCCGCCCCTGCACCATAACACTAAAATGCAATATTAGGACTTCATGCCGCAATTTTTTTAATTATGCACCTCCAGATTGGTTCTCTAACTCAAAGATAAGTGTCTCTGCTTTAGATTAGGCAGTTATGCCTGGTCTATTCTATTAGGAGAGCTTGCAGAGAACTCTATTTGTTGAGAGCAGGTGTCATTCACCATGCCAACCATGCTTTGGAGAGTACAATTTTGTGCAAGTTCATAGAAGTAAGACAGATTTATCAACTGCTGTTGCCTTTTTTCCTTCTGTGTGTTTTTAGAGGACCTATGCTGAAGGAATGCAAATAGCATGATATTGCAAAAAAAAAAAAAAAATTCTTAAATTTCTTTAAAAGACCTCTAGGGGTATGTAAGGTTTCAACTTTTCATAGATCTTAATTTTCAAGAGTTAAGAATAAATTCACTAGCTTAAACAAAAAAAAAAAAGATACCAGCCAAGTATTTCCTGCATTAGATTACTTTGCAGGGAGAAGCCATTGTCCTTATTAGAAGTGCATAAACCTGTTAACCACTTCTTTGCCTAAGAGTTACCAATCATAAGTCATTTCTATTCCTGCCAGCTTCTAAGTATCATACACATTAATCTATAAATTTTTTTAACAGGATGTTGCAGAGGATATGTAAACAGGATACTAATCATGGAAATTCAAAAACCCAAAATGCAGTCAGATTTAAAATATTAAACTAAGAAGTTAAGATGATAAATGGTGAATGATCCCATACACCATTAGTTTGAAAAGCAATAAGTAAAATGCAAGGGGAAAATCACTTATTAACAAGAAGCACTAAAGTATTAGATGACTTACTGCTACTTTCAAAGCTTGCTCCACATCGTCCAGTATATCTTGTGCATCCTCCAAACCAATTGACAGGCGAATCAAAGTATCATTGATCCCAAGAACCTCTCTCTCTTCTTCAGGAACTGAAGCGTGAGTCATAATGGCCCTGAAAGAAAAGAAAAATAATCTCTGCAGACCCATTAGGGGTTTTATTAAATAACTAATTTAGCTGGCCTTTACCGGTCAGCTCTGTAGGAGTGGTGACTATTTTCTGAACAGTAGTTTTGTGATATTCTCACATCAAAAGCCCAGATCCTCAGATTGTGCAAACTAGCATAGCTCCAATTAAGTCAATGGGGCATCAGCTAGAGTAAATCTACGTAGTTCCATTGACTTCACTGGTTTGTATTAGCTGAGAATCTGGTACAATATTGCCTGACTATAATTGCTACAGAAAAACAGTGGGTACTTTGGACACTGTAGCTCTAAGTTTTCATCTGGAAAAGGAAGCAAAATCCTATACTACTTTCTTTCAACCTTTCTATTGTTTAGAAAAATATAAATACATGTGATTCTAAAAGTTTTCCTGGTGGAACTGGATATCTGTGTTTAAAGACTATGTTTCAGCAAAGAAAACTGAGGTTATACAAGTAAGGAAGGTAGAAGAACTATTGAGTGAAGTTTCAGGAGAGAAGCTGAATCGGAAAGGTATACTTAGTCCAGTGGAGACAGATCTGGAAAACTGAACATAAAAACCCAATGCTCATTGGTGGCAGGAGTATTGTGAGACCAACAATTAAGTTACAAACTGAGAAGAAAAAGTATATGCTGCATGTGTCGGTCCTTGCCTGATCTATGGTTTGGAAATTGTGCGTCTTACAGAGAAGGAAGAAAAGATACAAGTAGTAGAAAATGATATACTGAGGAGAATGGAAGGCTAGAGGAGGGTAGACAGAGTAAAGCATGGAAGAAATTAGGAGGAAGATGAACTTGGGACTCTCAATGACCAGCTGGAGAGTGCAAGTTAGAGGTGGGCTGGACATATAAATAAGCATGGAAGGAAAAATGACCAGCAAAGAGAGAATGGCAGGAACAGGTCAGCAAGAAAGGAGGTAAAGATCAAGGATATGATGGAAAGACTATTGTGACACATTGCTAGACAGGATTAAGAATCCTGCAGGATAATGACCCAAATTCAACCTTTAGGGCAGAGGTGGGCAAACTTTTTGGCCTAAGGGCCACATCGGGCTTCCAAAACTGTATGGAGGGCTGGGTAGGGAAGGCTGTGCCTCACCAAACAGCCTGGTCCTCACCCCCATCCACTCTCTCCCACTTCCCACCCCCTGACTAACCCCTCAGAACCTCGGACCCATCCAACCCCACCCCCCCATCCCATTCCTGGACTGCCCCTGGGATCTCCTGCTCCTTATCCAACCCCCCTGACTCCCGACCCCCTTACCATACTGCTCAGAGCAGCAGGACTGACAGCTGTGCTGCCCGGCCAAAGCCAGCCATGCTGCCCAGCAGGAGCTCGCAGCCCTGCCACCCAGAGTGCTGGTGGTACAGCAAGCTGAGGCTGCAGGGGAGGGCGGATAGCAGGGGATGGGCCAGAGCTACTCTCCCTGGCCAGGATGGTCCGTAGTTTACCCACCTCTGCTTTAGGGACATATTCGTAGACTGTATTTTTGTGTTCACATATATTGTTAAAGGTTAATGTAACCAAACAGTTCCTGTCTATGCTGTATTCTATTAATTCAGAGATCAAAGGGTGAGCCTACATTTACGTGAACTGTAAATATAGTGATATCACTGTATTGCTCTCTTTGAAGAATATAGCAAATCACCTGCAAATGGTGGAAAACAGGCACTTGCCTTATGTTAATCCATGTAACTAATTACAGGTGATGCTTAGGAAATAGGTCTACTTCAGTCTCAATTACCTATTCACCTAACAATTCTGAGCTATCAAGAGAAGGCCTGGAACTGTAGTTAAACAAATGAAAAGGATCAGGACCCAAGGGTGGTTTGTTTGGGGAGGGAGGGGCGGTGGCTTTAAATCTCTGATCTGCTTGATGCATTATGCAGGGGAAGCTTGAGTCATGGGACTGGAGATCTGTCTTACCCCGATCACCCTGAATATGAATATTGGACTATAGCCTATGGACTAATTGATAGAACTCTTTGCAACTACAGTACTCACCATCTCTAGTATACCTACATCTGTATGTATACTGATCTTTTAACCAATACTTTAAAAAACAAAATCTACTTTAAGAATTGGCCATAAGCATGTATTTGGGTAAGATCTGAAATATTCATTAACCTGGGAGGTAATGCTTCCGATCCTTTGGGATTGGTAGAATGTTAAGATTCTTTCAGTAATCCTCATCATATTTGACTTGGGTGACTGGGTAGAAGCCCAAGGCTGGGTTGCCAAAAGGGAACGGTGTTTTGGCTTCTAGGTAACTAGTAAGGTATTACAGAAATTGTTTTGTGCTGGCTTGGTAAATCTAAGTTTTGGAATATTCACCAGTTTTGGGGATTATCTGCCCTAACAGAATAAACACAGTACGGTTCCCCTGGGACCCACAACCGTCAAGAGGTTTGAAGAGAAAAAGGATTGGAACTCCAAGGCCTACAAACTTGTGCCATGGACCAGGAGGAATGATAAAGAATTGTGGGCAACTCCGATCCCATGTAAACTAGAAAAGGAGTCAAGAAGCGAAGCGAATTCAACAAACTTTCCTAGATATTCAAAAGTGGGTCACATAGGAAATAGTTCATGAGGGCTTCTCTTCAAGCAACTAATCAGCAAGTTTCTTAAGGCTAGAGCTTTACAGACTCAGTATTGCCTTTATGTACAGAGTGATATCTCCAATTGACTTAAGTGGGAGCTCATCCCAGATGCAAGGGGCAGAAGACGACAAGGGTATACACATGCAGAGAATGGCCAATTTTTCCTTTGTATTCTCCTCACCCCTAACTGACTGACAGACCATATTACATTCTTTTCACTACTGGCTGCAGTGGCTATGGCATTAGCAGAGAAGCACAGGTCGTGAAAGACTCAATAGCCATTTTATCTTTAAAGTCTTCAGATAAGCCCAGAATGATCTAGTGCCATGTAATGAAGTGTTTACAATCCCTCTGTTAAAATACAAAGTTTACTGGGTATGAAAAACAGGTGCACTTAATTTTGTGTGCCGAGTATGCCCTCTTGTGTAAGCAGTTAGAATAGCAGACATTTTTTACACTAGTAAAACTGAAGGACAAGTGCAGTAGAACCTCAAAGATAGAAACACAAGTTATGCACTGACCAGTCAAAGGGACACCCTGTGAAACTGGAAATAACCAATCTACTGCTGCGCTTTCGTTATTTCCCCTCAAACAAAACAAAAACAACAAACAAACAAACCAAACCAACCCCAACCAAGTACTGTGCCTGTACTGCATCTTAAAGGTAGGCATCTCAGGGCTGCCTGTCGCCATATGTGGGGCAGCCACTTACAGCTACAAAGTGAAGATGCTGGGGCTCCCACCCCAAGCAGTCAGAGCCAGAAGACCAGGAGCTGTGCAGGCATCTGTGCTGCTTTCACCCCCCTCTTCCCTGGCCAGGAGGGGGAACTTGCTGTTTTTACCTCCCCTCCCCCACCCAGAAGGGTGACAAGCTTGCCAATTCAGTTTGCCCCGAAAAGGAAGCTGCCATCACTGAGGAGGGAGCTCAGAAGCTACTGGAGCCTGGCCTGCAGCGTGAGCTGCTGGAGCCCAAACTACACTTTGTTCAGAGTAACAGACAGCTTCCATTCCCAAGGTGTCTGTAACCCTGAGGTTCTGCTGTACATGATGTGGATTTAGTGAATCCATTGTCCATACTTTCATTTGTGGCTCAGACTCCCACTTTGAAGAAGGCAGGCCAAAGAACAATAGTGGGCTGCAAAAAAGCCAATGATGATGCTGTGGAAGAAACTGAAGGATATTCCTTGGATTTATGGTGGCTGACGGGGCAGTTCTTCAGTTTCAGTTGATCCAAAATGCCAGTAACATAACCATCTTCAGCCCATGACACAATAAAATGTACTATTTTTGAGAGAGGAATTTTGTTTTCACTTCACTCACCATTTTACTAATGCTGCTAGTTTCTAAAGTTAAGAATAGGAGGCAGAGATTAAATACTCTCTAGGTGAGATTCGGGGAGGCAAAGGTGATTTTGTGCCCTTCCAAGCCCTTGAGGCCTGTGCAAGTTACACCAGCTTTCCAGGGCTACCCTGCGGGTCACAGCACCACCCAGAATCTCCACAGTGCTGTGTGCACTGCATCTCATTATGCCCGGGGATGGATTTGGAGCTGCCTGTAATAGTTCATGTACGTGGTATTTCGAACTGATATCTGTTGCATGCAGATAGTGTGAATCAGAGTTTTGTCAGGAAGTGTACCCAGAAAGAGGAGGTGTGGTTCTTGATACTCACATCTTTCCGCAAAGATTTGGACAATGCAGAGCAATTTACTTCGAAGCCTTGGCTCAGCCCCCACTTACTGGGCCTGCCAGACCAGTTCCACCAGGAGGGACTCAGCCCCTTTGAGAGGGCAGGGGTCAAACAGCCTCAAAGGGTTTAACCACACAGGTACTCCTTTGAGGGAATCTGACAGTTAAGGGGGAGGCTGACCCAGACATTGCTGGGGAGCTAATTGACCCTTGTGCTCCAGGGGTCAGGGTACGACAGGGCTCTCTCTCTACCTTTAGGTAAGATAGATATGTACATAGATTGTTTTTAAAAAATCCCCTCTCATATCCTATGCTGCATTCCTACTGTTAAGATTAAATAATACTTTGTTTTATGAAGGCTGTGTGGGGTCACTATATTCACCATTGATCACATCTCATGAAGGGAAGAACAGTAGGTCCCCAAAACCCAGTTGGATCTACTGATCAGTCATGCAGGGCTAGTGCAACCACTAGGCAAATTAGGTGACCGCCTAGGGCGCCAAGTGGTTGGGGGCAGACAAAATCGCGCTCCGGGGAGGCGGAGGTGCGCGGGGAGGGCTGCCTGCAGCAAGTAACAGTGAGGGGGACATGAAGTGGAACTGCTCCCTGCCTCTGCTCTGCCTCCTCCCCAAGCATGCCACCCTGCTTTGCTTCTCTGCCTCCCAGCCTTGTGGGGCTGGGAGGGGAGACAACTGCCACAGGGCTGCTGCGGAGAGGGGGTTGGGGGGAGGAGAGGAGGAGCAGCAGGTGCAAGGTGGAAGTTTTGCCTAGGGTGTGAAACATCCTTGCACCAGCCCTGCAGTCATGTCTGGTACACAGGGCACTGAGAGTGGAAGAATTAGGGAATTCTACCACACAAAGGTTAAAGACTTGAGACCTAAGATTTGGAGGGTGTGCACTAAGAAGCCCAAAAGAGGGAACAGATATAAAGCTAGCTCTGAACTGTGACTCCCCTCCTGGCTCCATGCCCCACCCTGCCACCTACAGCAGGACTTAGGCAGGAATGCTTGGAAGCAGGAGGGCAGTACCCCATACCTGCAAGAGATTTCTAGCAGGCTGGGGTGGGCAGCAAGGCTGCACTCTGCTCCTTTGCAGCTAAGGAGGGCATTCATTCAGGTGCCTTTAACAGCACAATATGTACGCTAAACTTAAAGGCTTTGTTTAAGTTTGTTATCATATGTATTGCTGTTTTACACTGGTCATGAGTCCTCGAGAGGGGAGGATGGAATGTGTTTTATTTAAACAGTGTTTTTGATTCTTTTTCTCCTCATTGGTCTGAATTATTCATGCCATTAATACTGTATCACATCAAGTCCAGATCATTAGAGGACTGCCTCTGCTTTGTACTGGCCAGAGGATGTTTGGATTCTGACGTCAGCCTAGTTCTACAGCCTGACAGGAATCAGTGGTGTTAGCTCCAGTGTAATTAAACAGAATTCTTCTTTGCAGCCAAATTTGTCTAACAAGCAGCAAACCAAAGAAAACAAATGCCTCATTTTCCAGCTTGGTGGATGAGAGAACTACAAGGGAAGATTATAATGCTGGACGCTGACAGCCTTAAACCAGCTGCCTCAGGAATCTGCCAAAAACTTTGCTGAAAATATATTCCTCATCTTAGCAATGGTGCTAAGACTTATCACACATCTGTCCACCTTTATTCAAATGAAGCTCCTAATCTCACAGCTCAGGCATTGTCCATTTTATTGGGAACAATTTACAAACTTGGAACCTAATCCTGTAAACCAGAGGTGGGCAAACTACAGCCTGCAGGACCATCCTGCCTGACCCTTGAGCTCCTGGCTAAGGAGGCTAGGCCCCAGCCCCTCCCCTGCTGTCCTCCCTCCCCTGCAGCCTCACCTCACTGCGCTGCAGTGTGGCTGGCTCCAGCTGGGCCCTGCAGCTGCAAGCTTCTGCTGCTCAGAGCGGCATGGGGGGGGGGAGGGGGAGCAGGGGGGTTGGATAGGCATGGGAGTCCTGGGGGGGCGGTTCCAGGGGATGGTTGGATGGGTCAGGAGTTTTGAGGGGAGCAGGCAGGAGGCAGGAAGTGGGCCAGGCTGTTTGGGGAGGCAAAGCCTTCCCTAGGCCTCCCCCCCCCAATACAGTTTCACAACCCCAATGTGGCCCTCAGGCCAAAAAGTTTGCCCACCCCTGCTGTAAGCCCTTAATCATTTGATCAATCCCATTAAAAACAATGGGACTATTTGCATGACTATAGACCACTTCTGTGATAAGTTTCAGGAGTCTGTTCCTATAAAGGAAGTTGAATTCCCCCCCCCTCCCCCTTTGAAATACGTTTGGGTACAATAGCATAATGCAGTTTAGGATACATTCTACTTAAAATTTGTCTTTTAAATAAATCATACATACGCTGAAATGGCTCCTCACCCAACGCCCATATAAACAGACTGTCTACTACATATTTGGGGGAAAAAGTGAGGAGTTAAGCATGTTGATGTCTTGTATATACAAACACCCCTTTCATCACTGCCCTGGAAAGATACAGTTGAACTTAAACTTTCTTCAAATTCCACAGAAAATTAACAGCCCCAATTGTTTTGTGTTAATCAGTGTGTACCTGAAAAAAATTACACACCTTTTAAGAGAAAAGAATCAGGCCACACTTACTGGAAAATAATAATAATAAAAAAAATCCTTGCAACTGGTTCAGAAGAGTGCTACAAGACACACGCATAATCTCATGAGCAAAGGGTGGAGAGGATAATGTGGGAGGGTGTGACCAGCAAAATAATAATAATAATAAAGTCTCAAAGAGGCAGAGATTCACAGATTTGCAAAGCTAAAAAACCTTGTGCTTTAAACCACCTCATCACATAACTCTTTAAATGTTCATAAACCTGGTAACTGCAAAGGAACAGTGAAGCTCATTAACCTGAATGTGTGCCAGTAAGCCATCACCGACGAGGCTCAGTCACACCTGAACAGCTAAAAATTAACCTTTCCCTTTGAGGCTAAACAGACATATCACTGGCTCCATCTCTGTTACATAAGAGAACAAAACTCCAGTGGGGCATGGCGCTGGCACATAGGGTCTCAGGTACGTGATGTGATTTTTCAGAATCTCTTTTGGGAATAGTCATGTACATGAAATAGCTGGTACTTATGATTATGCTATTTCTATGCATGTATATTCAGCTTGGTATCTGAAGTTATGAATATTAGCTATGTTTACTACATGTTTGCTCCTGTGGTAATGCCCATAAGGTATTTAGCCAGCATGTGAAGGGACAAGTCAAGTTGAATGGCCCATTAAGGAATACTTAGCTCACAATGGACCCTGGAAAATGCCTGTCTACACTTGATGGACTTTTCCTGTGAACATTCTAACTACACAATGGATGGGGGTGATGGACATGTAACTTGCCCATGCGATTCCAAATACCACCTTTCACAGTGAGAACAAATTTCCTTTCACTTTTCAGAAGCTAAAAGACCCTGGAAACATCTCCATTTTGCTTCTTTCCTGCTCCAGCCTCTGCTCCCATTAGTATATGTTCATTGTCCATTCTAACCAAGGGACTGAGGACTTTAGAGTAATCTGGAGCCTTGATATTCCTTGATCCTTTGCAGATGGACTTATGAGTTGGATATGGTACAGAGACTGTTCTAGCCTCATTGATTGCTGGTTTCTCCCTTGCACTGGACAAATATCAGATGTCTGCTGACTTTCGCACATGAGTCAGCAGCCTTTGATACCTGTGGCATAAGCAACATAGTCCTTGCTTGCGTGGTTTTGTTCTTTCCTCTCCAACTGTCAAAGCCTGTTCCCATTGAACTCAATAGCAAAACTCCTTTTGATTTCAATGGGAACAGGATTTGGCCCCAAGAGATCAGAGAATGTGATTTTGATTAGTTGCTTATCTGTCCAGAAATATTTCTCACGCATGTTCTGCCAGGCTGATTCTGATTGCCCCTCCTGTATGTCATGTGGAGGAAAATAATAAAACAATCTGGGCTGTAGTTCTATTAAGATACAAATGACACACAGTTCTATGCCTCTTTTCCATCAAACCCAGATGGCGCAGCTTCTTTGTTGCCCTAGTGCCTGGCGGAGAGCAATACTTAGATACAGGCAAGCTGGCAGAATCTTAGTTTGGACATAAGGGAGGCACTGATAGTGTGTTAAGGGAAAGTAAGGTGATTATCCCTCTCTCATTTAAGAAGCTTTCAATCTGTTTAACAGTTGTAAAATTTTAGATAGGTAAGGGGGGTGTTGGAGGGGATTGGGAGAGTGTGGGGGCCCTGGGCTGGGCAAGGAGGAGTCACAGAGGGCCATGTGGGAAGGTCACGTTTCCCCTCCCCCCCCGCGTCCCTCCCATGAGTGCAGTACTGGCAAGAAATGATTTCTACTTGCACTACTGCTTAGAAGGCAGCCTTATGGCCATCTTCCACAATGCCTAAAATAGGGGAATTCTCCAACAGCCAGAATCAGGGCTTTTAGGGGCACTTTATGCTAGGTGAAGAGATCATGGGAAGGTCTTGGAGACAGTATACTCTACCATTCAAAGCAAGAGTCTTCCATTGTTTAAATTTCTAAAATAAGATCACATCACTGCTCATTTCCTGACCAGCCATAAAATGCTCATGATATAAAAATTAGCTCTATAGTGCTTTATCACAAAGTGAAACATTCAAATTTTAAACACTACGCAGTTTCAAGATGGCCACAAAATCCAGTGGAAGCTTTTCTTCCACAGTATGTGCAATTTAAGAATATTTCATCTTCTATCTCTACTGGAAGACTGACTTACGGATGTTCTGCTAGGCTTTCATATCCTCCCAGACTCTCAGCCAGCGCAAAAAGCTATAGTGGGAAATACAAAAGTTCACTTTGAAACAAAGAGGATTTAAAATAGCTACATTGTAGAGAAAAAGGCAATTACGTCTTATAATTTACTTAATTTTGAAGTGGAATTCACTGAACTAGAAAACCACAAAAATAAACCCAAACTTTCATACCATGGAAAAAATACTGGATGCAACAATTGGTATGTAGTTTACTAGGAAAAAGTTACTGGGTCTGAAAACATTTCCTTCTCTTCTTTAGGCAAGTTAAGGCTAGAGAAAGTAAGCAACTTAAGGCAGAAATTTTTGTCAGGGCTAACCAGGGTGCACCCCTGACCTTTAAGTATAGTCAGAGTGGGGATAGGGTGAATCTCTGGAAAAAAAAATAAGAACAGAACTAAAAACTTTAAATTGAAATTACTCCCTCCTCTCTCTTTACCCTATCCCTCTCCTGTCCTATTAATTCTTCTAGTTTCACACACCTCTATACTTTCTGGGCCCAATCAAGGGCAGAACTGATGGAACACTGTTTCAGAGGTATTTTACTTGTGTTTGCAGTCTTACTAGAAACAGAAAAGTCATGAGATTCTTTTCTCACAAGATTACTCATATGATTTTGCAAACCCAGAAATTTGGAGGAGAATCCAAACTGCTGGGCACTTAACAGAATTCAGTTGTTGATCCTTGGAGGAATGGATTCCTCCACACATTAAAGGTCTTCACTAATCACTGCTCTTTAATCGTACATATGTTCTTGCACTAGATGACAAAAGGCTCTCCACATACTCTGCTGCATTCAGAAACTAGATGTGTGTCTACTGAGGGTGCAGCAGCTGCTGTCAGGATCAGTATGCCTGCTATTGTTCCTCTTCCGCATTTAGGAGTAATCCACTCCTTGTATATCCAGACAGTCTATTTTAGAAAACACCTCTTTCCTTAAGCATCAGCCCAACAACTGATTAGCCAGACACTGAGGGGCTGGAGGTGAAAACACTCAGAAGGAGGTGAATCCTCGATTCTGGAATTTGCTTCCCCCTATTATACCAACAGAGGCAGAGAGGACTGACCTTTCAGGACAGGATGAAAGGCTCATTTTTGTACTCAAACCTTTGTTTGTGGGATGTTATCTGATTATGTGAAATTTCAGTTGTGATTTTATTTGGGCAGTGAGGGCCAGTGGTGTTGGGATGGTATGGGAGGAAGAGAAATCCTTAATCTGACTATCAATTTAGATACCAATTGGTTCCATTTTAAAAAATTTACCCAAACATGTCCAGAGAACAATAGCCATGAAAAAGTTAAAAGATAAAGTTTAAGAAAAAGGGAGCTAAACAATGCTCATGTTAAGAGAACACCTGTCAGGTGATCTGCCTGAAAGAGGCAGCACTACCTTTTGGAAAGTGGATCATGAAGAAGTCTCAAAAGGCATTTTCCATTGTCAAGTATTTTAAAACGTTCTAGCATTGTTACATCAGCAACAGCTCTTCTGCTTTTAAATTGCATTAACAGTTGTCGAAAGATATGCAAATACTTTTAGTAGCAACACATGGTTTAAACTAGCTATATAAGCCCCAGCTATAATTGTAAACACTTCAAATGGGCTGATACTTCCTTTTCTTCCTTCTCATTAGTGTCCCATCTCATAATTATCCATTATTTAGATTGTGGTACCACCCAAATATATTAGAAGCTTTCCAAACTCATAGGAAGATAGTCCTTGCTTTGAAGGTAACCACTTCCTCTTTCACCACACTACCAGAACCCTAACTAACTCAGTCACAATCAGGTTCTCTTACAGAATTAGTTTAAATTCATTTGAAGGGAAATTACCTTTAAATTCTTGAGAAAGATTTCAGCATGTTCACGGTTTCCTTTAATGTAAAAGGTGACCATCCCAGGACAGCCAGTGGACTGACGCTTCATTAGCTTATGCTGAGGATGCGAGGGCAGTCCTGAAATTAGTCACATACTGTATAAGCTGTTTTATTCAGACTGTTAAAATTGCAGTAAAGAGCAAGCCACACTAAGGCACATAAAAAGCAACCCTCAAGTGTTAAGCAGCATAGAATCAGCTGCAAGATAAATGCCTATGCCAGAGTAACTTACATCAATAGAATTTGATTTGTATCAGCAACACTTAGGAATGCAGTATCCTATATCAAACAGAGCCAGAACAAAAATTTCTTCTCTTCAGAAATCCTGCAACTTACCAGGATAAATGACTTTTTCTACCCGGGGATTTGATTCAAGGTACTGAGCAACAGCCAGTGCATTGTGGAAATGCTGCTTCATCCGGATCTGCAGTGTCTTTAAACCCCGATTGCAAAGGTAACAGTCAAAAGGAGATGGAACTGCTCCAAGGGCTATGAAATAACGCAATATTACAAATATTAAAAAACAAAACCAAACCTCTTCTGCCTTATTGAATAAGTTCTTAGTTTAGAAACTGACCCCTGATGTTAACAGATGCAATTCCCATTGATTTCTATGGGAACTTTTCCTGTTTATACCAGGGTGGAATTTGGTCCTATATCTGGAAATTCAAACATATTACTTAGACTATTTTTAGTGTGGTATCAAACTTTAGAAGAAGATAAGGGAGGGAGGGAGGGAGAAAAAGATACACGTGTTTGTATATTCTTCCCCTCCGCCCAAGATAGAAGAGTCAGGCAGGAGCTAAGACACTGAAGACTCCGGGATGAATCTTATCAGACACAAGGCACTCCCTCAGATTACTTTACTTACGTGAGGCAGGGCGAATACGAAAAGTGTTCTTTATTCAATGGATAAAAATGAATTCATAAAAATACACAGATGACAGAAAATATGCAGCTGCCAAAACATAAAAGATTTCTAATTTATCATACAAAAATCAGATGGGTGCACGCTGAGTGATATGGTCAAGGGTCTAAAGGAAAACTAATTAAAAAATGAACACCAGCTACAGAGTTTATTAATTATATGCCTCCTTTTACACGCACACACACACGTAAGAAGAAATTAATCCCATTACAACATGTAAGGAGATATTTTGCAGGGTACTAAGGAGGAGAAAACTAATATTTAAATAAGTTTAGAAAGGTACCATCCTGGCAGCCCTGCAGCCACAAGTCCTCTGTTTACCCATAGAACAGATACTGCTTCAATCCTGATCTGAAAGGACTACCTCCAACAGATGAGGGCAGTTATTAATGGTTTGTAGTACAGTGGGGCTAGAGGCTCAATTCTGTTGGCACTGTACAAACACACATTAAGAGACAGTTCCTGCCTGACAAAGCTTGCTATCTAGGGCCCTGATCCTGCAAAGGACTTATACACATACCTATTTTTATATGCTGAGTACTCCCATTGACGTCAGTGGGACTACTCACAGAGCCTAAAAGTTAAGCATGTATGCAAGTCTTTCCAGGATCTGAATCTCATTTTAGGCATTTCTATATTCAGTCCTTGGTCATGGCTGAACTGGTCCCCATTAAAAAGGTAATTATGATGGGTCAAAAAAACAAACAAAAAAAAATCCAAACCACAAACATCTTTGTGTGACAGACTAACAATATCCTGGACAAACCTTAAGGAATTAAGATAAATTTTAAAGTAAAAGCTTATTGAATTGGGGTTAATACCATTAGGGTCCATTGTATTAAATATGTAATTGTGTCTCTGTTGTTATGGAAGTGTATCTACAGTAAGGGATTGCAAATGTGATTCCTCCACTATCAGCCCTTTGAGGCCACTCCCCTGGCAAGGTGCACATATATACTCACTCAAACGGATTCTCCAAGACCAACAGACAAAGAAAGGGGTTTTGGATAAATAGCCTGCTTTCAAATTGGCTCAAGGCCTTCTTTCTGATCCAGCAAATGGACAGGGCCCTAATCCTTAGGGAAGGATTGGAAGGACTTGGCCTACTGAGGCACCATTAGACTGGGTGTCTGTTCTGAGCTGAAGCTGTGATTAACTTGAAACATCAAGAAACCCCTTGGGTGGAGTATTGAAGATCCTGTATTAGGGCTGGGATGATCACTGGTAAGCTTAGTAGTATTCGTTTTTATTGTTTTTAATGTTTTGTCTGCAGTGCTTTTACCTTAAGAATAAAATAGGCTGTGCAGAAAGAGCTGTGTGATAAGTTATGACTGATCAGTCTCTGTAGAGAATGCAAGCAAGAGTGCAAGGGCAACCTCTCGCTGCTAGGGATAACACAGTGAAGGCAGGAAACAGTGCAGCCTGGAAATATGCCAGTAAGAAGTGGGTGAGACATGGGTGTCTACAAAAGAAAGGCAATGGCTAGGGAGCTGGAAGCCTGAGAGTAGTTGCCCTTGCTGGATCACACGTGCAATTGCCCTGAGCTGTGACACCTGGCAATAAACTGACACTATCAACTCATTTCATATAGGCCAATAGATGACTCGGGATGAATTTAAACACATGAGGTGAAGTCCTGGACCCATTGAACTCAATGGAAGTTGTCATTGATTTCAATGGAGGTTCTCACCCCTGGTCTAAGGAACAGAGGCTTGTATAGAAGCCTTTACTAATCTCCTGGGACATCCAGACCCTCATAATTAAAAGGACAATTAACCACTCTCTTTGCTTCCTGTTTGGACACTTGAAAATAATAGTATGAAAATCTTTCCATGTATAAGCAGTACAAATAGTGAATTAAACAGAGCTTTTCATCAGCATATTTCAAAGCACTTTACAAAGGCGGTCAGTATCATTTATCCCCATTTTACTGCTTGGGAAACCGAGGCACACAGAAGCAACATGACTTCGCCACCAGCCTCCTGGGTAGACTTGTAGGAGACAGGAATAGAACCCAGATCTGAGTGCTAATGCAGTGATATGGACACTAGGCCACAGTCCATCCCATTTAAACTCTTGGGTCATATTTGTAGCCTAAATACATGGATTTCATATATGTAAATACACCAAATGCTTTCTGCTGTGTACAAGCATACCTGGATCCAATAAGTTTTAAAGAATTTCCTGTATTGGCTACTTACCATTTTGTAAGAATTTGAGCCTTTCATAGAGATCATCACCATTTACTGAAACCAATCCCATTACAACATCACTGTGCCCTGAAGATGAAAGAAGAGCAATAAACTGTTAACTTGTTTGTATACAGGAAGCTTTCAATATATAAAGAGTTAGGGGGGGTGTTTTCTTGGTGCTGCTACTACACATTTCCTTTTCTGTTTTTGCAGTTCAAGACATCGGATATTTCTCCTCACTGCTTCCGTCATCTATGCACTGACATTCAGGCCAAGATCCAGATTATCCTCCTCCAAGATCATGGTTACTGCTATGCTCTGTAGCTGCTGGCAGGGCCTGCTTGTACAGTGGAGCAGTTGGTATCTTCCATCTTCTCAGAATACCTGACATTTGTGACACCCCTGCTCTCTACTTGCCAGAAAACAGGTAAAAACACCAGCACCTAACACTTCCATCTAGCAGTCCATGTGTTGCTATGGAGCAGACACAACAGTAGATACTGCTCTTAGCCAGTTTTAGTGGTAGTGGCCACTACACGTTAGTGGCTTCTGTTCACTTTAACAAAGCTTGATTTTTTTTCATAACCAGTGTTTATAGAGCATTGTAACCAGAAGTCCAGCTGCACTTCTGGGGGGAGGGATAGCTCAGTGGTTTGAGCATTGGCCTGCTAAACCTGGGGTTGTGAGTTCAATCCTTGAGGGGGCCATTGAGGATCTGGGGCAAAAATTGGGGATTGGTCCTGCTTTGAGCAGGGGGTTGGACTAGATGACCTCCTGAGGTCCCTTCCAACCCAAATATTCTATGATTCTATGACTCTATATGCATCTGAATGACAGGCTGTCGGTCTTGTAAGGAAGTACAGAGCTATTTTTCTGACTCATCCTGGAAATCAGATCATTAGCTCCATTCAGGAATATAAAGGACCCTTTGCTGTACTACTGATTGATCTCTTTAGCTCAGAGAAGCCCTTGAAATTGCCAGAATACACTCTCTGCGGTGAGAGAAAACAAACAAACAATCAATCTCTCACCTCCAGTAATGTCCCCTGGTAGCTGAGGGGTTGTCTACCAGCTTTGTACCAGCTACTGCAGCCCCAGGCAGCAATCCATCTGAGAGTCACTGACTGATGCACTCACTTTACTGAGCTGCCTGCAGTTGCTGGCTGGGGAGTGGCCCAACCAGAGTGTGGGTAGGGGGACACTGCTGAAGGACATAGTGGGTGTGATGCATAGCTGGAGGACCTACAGAGCAGAAGAGGGTTTGTAAATGAGGGGTGGGGATTTAGAAGGGGATATCCATGATCTAAAGGGATACACTGGCTGAGGGAGCTGTCAGAGCTAAGAGCTATCAAGGAAGACAGCAGTCAGAGTTCACACTATCTGTTGTGAAAGTGTTTTCCACCCACAGCAGCACCCAGTTTATTAAGCTTCCACTGATTATTTACCCCTACACATTTCAGGAACTAATGCCAGTCACTTGTGGCGTTCCATTCAGCATTTTTGCAAATGACATAAGGTGCTTTTCAATCAGTTGAGGGTCATTACAACCAACGGCTCTCGGTAACACAGACAAGAGAGAAAAAGGCAGAAGGTCCTGGAGGGAGAAATCCTAGTCACCTTGCTCAGGAAAGAGCTTAGGTTTGAAAGTATAGTCCTGTTTTAGGGCTTTGCTATTTTAACTAAATAAAGGCAAATCAGTTGGAGAATATCTGTTGGGTATGCGCTGTGGTCAGGAACTGGGTAGAGAAACCACCCATTTATAGGTTTCCTCATAGCAAGGATTTCCAAGAGCTCTTTAGACAGATATGGAGAACAAAGAGCATCAAGCAGCAATAGAAAATGATATTTTATGGCAGTTATTATTGGTTTTAAACAAAACAAAACCACAAGAGAGCATTTGAGCTATATAATATTCAGACGCTTACCGTTCATGTATTTGGTTGCTGAATACATACAAATATCTGCCCCAAGAGACAAAGGACGCTGAAACAGAATAAAAATAGAAGATTTGATTTAACATTCTTTCACCATTTTCAAATCACAAACTACTCTCACCTCATCCCACAGAAAGCAGAAGACTCAGGTAACAGGACACATGGGCTGGGAGTTTCAAAAGCACTGTCTATCTCCTATTGACTTCAGTGGGAGAAGAGCTAAGGCAATGCAATGCAGAGCACTTCTCAAAATCCTACCCCTAGTTTTTAAAATTTTATTTCCATTTACAGAATGCACCTACCAGACAGCTTGTAGGCACATACAGAATAGTAACCACTTCAACATTCTTACAACCTAATCAATGTTAACTGCACATACAAAATAACTTCCCCTGCCACTCAAAACCCTGAGCTTCTTCAAAGAAAACCCAGGTAACCAGGCCAATTTGTTCATTGCATTTTTTTTTTACATTCGTGTCTGGATTTGTCTTTCACCTTAATGACACTGCCTCAGGAAAATTGAAGAGTTTAGAGCAGGAGCAACTGAAACAGAATTCTTCACATTTGCGTAAGTTTTCAAATTGCTCTTCCAAGGAAAGAGTAATTGGAAATGACAAGACAAACAGCTGCTTTCTCTAACAAATGATCTGATTTTACATCAGTCACTAAATTACAGACTGCAAATTATTACTCTTTAACCTTTATACTGTGTTTGTTCAGTGTGTTAAAAGGCCAATGTAGTTAATAGATTCAGAACAAAAGAAGGGAGAAAAGCTTGCTGTCAGACTATGTACGGAAGTTTGGATGGTCTTGCTGTCATCTCTGACTAGTGGAATAGTAATGAAAGCACTAGTGCTTTCTTCTGTATGCAACATATTGAAGTAATAATAAATTCATGGGGATAGTTATCCTCTTAGCATACTGTCCCAGTAGCAAAACTTCAAGTGTTTAATATATTACCTTTTAATACTTGTCAGACAATCCTACAGAGTTAATAATTGAAACAGATTTTCTCTTGTGATCAAGTTAACAGACATACTAGCTAGACAAGTTATTGCATACATTGCTCCTTCAACACATTTCCATACCAAGTCTTGCAGAAGCAACTCGGAGCCAAATTAGAAAAAAAGATCACTAAACTTTTTTCAAACTAGGGCCCCAACTCAAAAGCACACACTTAAACCTTAAGTACTTGCTTATATTCTTTGATGAACTAGTGCCTTTAAGGAAGAATATGAGGTATTACCTTGACAATGCCAAATCTTACAGTTTTGTATTTGTGCAGATCTACTTTAATCACATACAAATCTTTTATTTTGTAGCGCCTCCTAAATTTATGAAGAAAGTAAAAAGCAAACCAAACATGACAATTCCGGTTCCCCAAATGCAGTAAATTAATCTAATTTTCATTAAATCCGATAAGTGCATGTGTGTGGCTTTGGCATGAACTGGAAACTATACTTTGTCTGAATTTTATTCACTATACCTCAGGATTTTTTAACTTGAAAAATTATTTCCTGCTGCATATGTTTCTACTGCACACATGGAAAAAATAGGGGAGCTTTCTGTGGCCAAAATAATAAGCACCAAAATTACCACAAATAATAACTGAAGACTGTGTAGCTGAGAGGCTAAACGTTTTTTTCTATATTTCCAAGATACTGTGTTCAAATACATTGAGGTTATAGTGTTAAAATATTTTGTTAACTTGTTCTCCAAAATCAAATGAGATTAAAGATTTACATTTTTTAAAAGAAAACAATTAAAAACACAGTGTAAGGCCCAGAAAGGTGTCCTAGATTAAAAAACAAACAAGACAGGAGAAGAATTCAGTCTTATAAAGAGGAGTTAACTATAAAAGCAACCAAATCAGAAAATCCATTTAAAGGCCATGTTAAGTCACAGTTAAAGAAGGTAGAAAATTAGCTTCACCACTATGCTAGTGCCTTAGATAATTGTTTTGATTTAGTGCAACCATTAACTAATTTGCCTCTGTTTTAACAGATCTCACATCTTTATATGGCTAGCTGGTTCTTTTTCCAATTCATTCTTTAAATGGTGTAAAGTGCTTTGGATGAGATCTGTATTAGTTAAAGAGCCAATTGTGCATCCTCTTTTCAGCGTGAAAGCTTTAAAACAAACCGGAGGCCAAGAGCACTTCTTCACTGGTCATCCCTTCTGCCATTAGAAGTCATTAAAAAAGATAAATAAATCACTGTTTACCAACATTCCCATGATTTCAGACACCCAGTCAGCTTACCTGGAAATATGCTGACATAAAAGTGTTGTCTACTACTAAAATAATGTCTTTATGTTTATGGATGACATCTGCACAGCCTTGAATATCAATTATCTTCAGGGTGGGATTTGTGGGAGTTTCAAGCCAAACAAGCTGTAATTTTTCAATGAACAGAAATCATTAGTTTTAGATACATTGTGTATTTTACAGGTACCATCACCTATAACTTTCTTTTTTTAAAAGGACACTTTTTCCTTTTCTTCTTTTGCATATATTCTGAAGAGAGCACCAGAATGACAGCCTCACATTCTTAGATCTGGGCCTGATGCTATGGATCTCACTCACACACACACTCCTTTCTTAGAATTCCTTTAGCAACAACTTTACCAATATAATAGTGAATTTTTCTTCATATTTTGAAGAAAAGCTCTTAAAAATCATTAGCTGTATTTAATATTAGTTTGCCAAATGCCATGTTCCCATCCAGCTGTGAAAAGTGTCATTACTAAAAAAAAAACCAAAACCCATGAAAAAGCAGCCTTTAACCATTAACAGAGTCAACAGCAAAACCTTCCCTCCTCAACTCAGAAGCCCCTTTACAACATTCACCTCTGAACAAACATTTATTACTAGCCCAGTAAAAAAATATCCCTCTCTGCATGGCCCCTGAAGTGTTCCGAATTTGCCATCCAAATGCAGAGTGTTCCCAAGAAGAGACTTCAGAACTTTTAAGATCTGTGTTTATGTTTTCTGCCATAAATAAAAACCTGTCCTAAGAATTTGCTACACAGTTTGTAAAAGGAACAAAATAAAATCATTCAAGACACACTGCAAATGGAATTCAGGAGTATTCTTCCATTACCTTTGTATCTGGTGTGATTGCAGACTCCAGGCATTCCAATTTGCTACAGTCAACAAAAGTAATCTTCAGACCCATTTTGGAGGCTACCTTCCTGAAATATCTGTTTGTACCTAAGACAGCAGGAACATTGTACTATGAAAGATATGCTTCTACTTTACACTTATAAGAGGGGAGAAATTTTTCATGAACACTAGAGCACACTCACTTATTTTCATTTTATGAAAATAAGATGGTAAGAAAGGCTTGGGAGGGTGGGAGGAAGACAAGGCAGGATGCTTTACGCAAAAGTTAGACTAGTAATTTTGTATTTTTAAAGTATGTTTTAGTGACTGGATGGGCTATTCCCTTCCTGTATGCAATTCAAGCTGCCATTTCCCCCTTTTCTCTTGACTTGCCATCAGATGATTTGTGCCAAAGCTGCGTAAAAACTTGTAGAAAAAAAATGTAGTTAACAATAATTCCAATGCCAACCAAGTAACTATGTACAGAAGACCTTGATTATATGATAACTTATCCAAAGCACATGTTGACCCTTGACTGACACGCCATCCAGGGTGGGCAGAATTGTGGGAGACTGTGCTAGCAGAAAGGAAATCATTGGGTAAGAAATTTTCTGTTCTGCAGCCCACTGTCTCCCACAGTTCTGCTATGCATGCAAAGCAGTGACCAGGACCAGAAAGGGATAACAGAACACACACAGGAAACAAAAAGACCTCTGCCTTTTACAAGATTGCTCAAACAACATGTTTATTACTGGACCACAACCTTTAAGACCTTCCTGCCAAAGGAGCATTCTGCAGAAGACAAAGTCCACTCTGTAGCATCTGACAAAGGTTTTAGTCAATGATCATATTGCTGCTTTGCAGATCTCTGTGGTGCAAGCACATGCTCTTTTGGCCCATGAGGTCACCATAGATGTTGTGGAGAGCTCCTTGATTCCTTCTGGTACAGAACATTGGCTGCATTGTATACCTCAACAATACATAATCTGATCCATCTAGCAAGGGAGAGCTTGGAGACTCTGAGTCCTAGAGTTTAGCTGGAAGGAGACAAACAGGATGCCTGACTCCTCATGGACTCTGTATGCTTGATGTGAATCTTTTGTGCTCTTCTAACATCCAAAGTGTGCCACAGCTTCACAGTGAGGTGCTGTGGCTTTCGACAGAATGAAGGGAGGGCAATCTTCCGCGAGGCATGGAAAGGAAAGTTCACCTTTGGCAAGAAAATATCTGGAGTTTTTAGCACCACCTTGTCATCGTGAAACATGCAGTAAGGTTTCTGCATAGATAAAGCTGCCAGTTCTGAAACTCATAGGGCAGATGTGATGGCCACCAGAAAACAGGTTTTGATGGAAAGATAGTATGAGGACGCAGAAGTCAGGGGTTCAACAAGGATGAGTGGTTAGGGCTTTCAACACCAGTGGTGGATCCCATTTAGGGAAGGTCAGTCCGACCGCCAGTCGGACTGCTCTGAGAAGCCTGGAAACCTGAAGGTTCTCAGCCAGGGAACCTGAAGATTCTGGGAACAGTACACTACCGAGGGCTAATTCCTTATCCACCCCTTGAAGAAGTCTAGAATAACTGCAATCCCCTAATCTTTTGGGTCTGCTCTGTGCTCAACATCAAAGGCTGAATTTAGTCCAAATTAGGCTTTTGGAATGCAAGCTCTCCTAGAGGAGAGCTAAGTCTCCTATCTCTTCTGAAGATAGGCCGAGCACAGCTAACACTTCCCTTTCAGTAGCCAGGCTGCTAGATGAAGACAGTCTGGGTCCAGATGAAGGAATGGTCCTTCATAAAGGATGTTGGGCCTCAATGGTAGGTGCAATAGTGGTTCCAGCTGTAATTCTATCAGGTCAGAGAACCAGAGTCTCCTTGGTCAGTGTGGAGTTAACACTTATCACTTTGTTCTTCTTGCCTTATCTTATGGATCACTTTCCTTAGGAGAGGAAAGGGTGGAAAGTGTATAGCAGGCCTTAAAGCCATCTGTGTGACAAAGCATCTATCCCCATAGCCTTGGGATCTGCTTCCCTGGTGAAGTATTTCAGCCACATTGCATTCTTGTGATTGGCAAACAAGTCAGCTGGAGGGAGACTGAACTGTGAGAGGAGGTTTAAGATTTTCTGGCTTATGCAACATTTCGAGTTGCTAATAATGGGCCTGCTGAGCGAGTCTACCTTTTGGTTCAGTTCCCTCTTATGTGATTTGCCTTGAAGAAAGGAGAGTTGCTTCTGCCCACTCCATTTTCTCTATCACTTCCACCTGTAAAGCATTGTATCTGGTTCCTCCTTGGTTCTTAATGCATGCATTCATGGTCATATTGTTGGACTGGACCAGGATGTGATTTCCTTCTGAGATTCCAGAGCTACCAAGAAGAGCTAATTTGATTGCCCTGAGTTCCAAGAGACTGATCTGTGGTTTTTTTCCCGTAGAGCTCCAGATGTCCTTTACTGTTCTGGGTCCTAGATGTGATCCCCATTCCGCTACGCAGGCGTTGGTGGTGAGGATCTGAGGGTTTGAAAACACATGGAATGACTCCAGCTGACATTTTCCCAGACTGTCCTCCGCTTCAAGACGTCGATGACATGTACCTCAAGTTGAATGCACTCTGAGGAGTGGTTCCATCCTTTCAGAAGAAAAGCCTGAAGACAGTGGATATGTGATCTCACCCATTGGGGTGATTCCTATGCATGTGACCAGGAGGCCCAGTGGCTGAAGGCACTGAGCAATAGTTGGGCACCTGCACTTGACCAGTGTGGATATCAGATTCTGATGAGATACCAAATGGAAATGTTTGACACTGGTTGTGACCTGTGCCATAAGCAAATCTCAGAAGCCTGGAATGGGCACACTAGAACGCGGAGGTATGAGTCTGCCAAATCCACTGAGGTTTGGAAGTTCCCTTGAGACAGACGTCATTATCAAAGCTAGGCTCTCCATCTGAAACTTTGTTTTCTTCATCCATTTGTTGAGCCTTTTGAAGTCAAGGATGGCTCTAATTCTTCCTGTGCCCTTCTGAACAGTGACGAAAACAGAGTAAAACCCGAAAAGCATTCATATGGGGAAATCCTATCACTCCCATGTTCATAGGTAGAAGATCTCATTCTGGAACAACCTGCGCTTGGCAGGATCCAAGGTGACTGGAAACTAGAGGAAGGGGTGTGGTGGAGCCCTTACCTCAAGAGAGTAACTCTGGCATGTTCTCTCTCAAATCCACTTGTTTACAGTTGAACTAATCCATTGGTCTTGAAAATAGTACATCCTGTCTCCAAAGCTCAGGTCTGGGCCAAGGTACATTTGCTCATTGTGATACCAAAGATGGAGGTTTCCCCCTCACTCCTCAGTTCCAATGTTTTCCCTTACATATCTGTTGTCTTTTCTCTGGAACCTCCATAAAGAAATGGATGAAAGGAGTGTCTGTCTCCATGTGAGTTTGTAGTCCCTTCTTAAGAGCATTAAGTGGAGAAGGAAGGGATTGATTGATTTTACCTGCATTTTAAGCCACTATCTTATCCAACTTTTCTCCAATGAAAAGAGATCCTGTGAATTTAGAGAAGCAAAGGGCTTGTTTGAAGAGAGTAATTACTTTATAGGGATAAAGCCATGCCTCCTGGCCACAGAGCTAGATGCCATGGCACAAAACTGCATAGCATCAATTGACACAAATGCTGTTGCTATGGAGATTTTCATAAGTATAGAATTAAAGTTGGTTTGGTTTCTGCCCTTAAGAGCTTTACATTATTCCAGCCATGACACTGTGGCTCGAGCAAAGCAAGTGGCTGCCAGAGATGCTCCAAGGGTGTCTGAGGAAGCACTGAAGTCCCTTCTGAGGGTGGCTTCCACCTTCCTATCCATTGGATCTTTGGGAAAGAAGTCTTCTTTGGTTGGAATAACAATATCCCTTGCTAGAGATGTTACTGCAGCATTGACGTTAGGCATGTCAGTGATGGCATTTTTTGACTCCTGGAGCTTGTAGAATCTGAGCATGTACTTGTTTAAGTGATTATCCTTTTCAGGAGCTTCCCACTCCTTCCTCATTATTTCCTCAAGGATACATACAGAAGAATAGAGAGGATTTAGCAGGCAGTATTTGCTCTGAAGCTTTGTCCTCATGGGCCTGCTTAGGTTGGATCTGTATAGTGGAGACAACTTTTTCCACGTCTTCAAAACTTCCCGGGGATGTGGGGGGTGGACAACACACAAAAACCCCCACACTTTTGTTGCATTTTATCAGTATCTTGCTCAGAAACAAAGTCTGATAGTTCTCTTTCCTTGGTAGAGAAGGAGGACAAAATACTTTTGGGGCTCTCTTATCCTTTTTGTTCTTTACTTTTTCAAGAGATGGGAGGGGAGAAGAGCAGTGGGGCACGTGCTTTTCAGGCTTGACCAGCCAGCTATGCCCTGGGCAGAGTCTTTTGCGGCTAGCCTTGCATAGGCTCTTGACAGTGCTGGAAACTTCTCCCTTGGGAGTCCTCCCCCACAGGCTCCCACTCCCCCACGTTGGGGGATGGGGACTCATTGCCAGAGTTTCCTGACTCCAGCTGAAAGGAAGGGGGCTGAATTGTGAGCCCAGATTCTTTCCCCAGAGTATTCTGGACCCATTTCAGGACTGAGGTGGGGGGGTGGGGTGGGCAACAGTAGCCCCGCTACAGACTTATTCTCATGATTTTGAATTGCCCCAGGATTTACCCCACTGGGCTGGCTGAATGAAGTCCTCCTGGTCCTTAGAGCCTCTCCCAGTTCTGCTCTAGGTCGCCTCATAAGGCTTTTCTGTGGTACAGTCATGGCTTCCTGGGGAGATCAGGTCCCAACATGTCTAGCTGGCTAAATGCTCCGTGCCCTCAGCTGGCTGAGCCTTGCACTGGTAGATTAGGCAGCGCATAATTCACCCTCCATGGAGTCTGCTAAAGTTGCCTCCCAGATGGAGCAAAATCTGGACTTAGCACTGTATTTGCATGGCTGCTCTGCCATCTCTGAAAGGGGGCAGAAGAGCTCTGCAGAGAGACACCGAAGCTGAGACTCTGTGCAGCTTTGCTGTTGCACTGCTGAATACCTGGTCCAAGAGAAGGAGAAGAAAAACAAAGAAGGCTGTTCACTGCTACCTGAAAATGAAGAAAATAAAAAGGCAGAGGAAAGGCAGGAGAAAAGAGAACCACAATTGACTGCTACCAGGGAAGCAGAAAATCTGGTGGCAGCCAGAGAATGGGGGTGGGGGGAAGTGCTGCAGCTTTGAATGGCCTCTGGAACTGCACACAGGAGGTGACTAGCTCATGCACAGCAAAATTATGGGAGATGCTAGGCTGCAGAGTGTTGTATTTTCAAACAGTGCTCTAGACATAATGGGAGACCATTAGGGCTATTGTTTCATATAAATTTCTTAAGTACTTTTTATTTTGTAATATTACATTGGTCTCTCCTAAAGGAAGATGAAAGTCAGGATTGAAAGTAAATCTTTATACTGGTCCCAACGTGCACACCCATAGTGGTTTCCAACTTGAGACCTGAAGAGAGGAGGGGAAAAAAAAAAACCAGAAGGCTAGAATACCACTCTCTCTCCCCACATACACAACACACTCCCTGTCACACTCCGCCCCACCCGCATTTGAAAAGCACGTTGAGCCACTTGCATGCTTGGATAGCTTCCACAATGCACTGCTCTCTGTGGCGGTTGCAAGAGCAGCTAATGTGGCCACGCCAGTGTGGACAGATTGCAGCACTTTCCCTACTGCGCTCTACGAAGGCTGGTTTAACTCAAAGCACTCTACATCTGCAAGTGTAGCCATGCCCTGAGTTTGCCTGTTTCCTCCCTTCCCTACAGCCCCTGGCAGTTCTACTCTCCACATCATCTTTCCATACCCCCACCTGTCCTAATTCTCCTCACAGTCATGTGTTTCTACCATGCAGCCTCAGAGTGGCCACCCATTTCAGAGTCTATTTAGTAGGCTTAACTAAGAATTTAGGAGGGAAAGGAAGAAGCAGGAAGAGAGATTACAATTATTATATTTCTTGTCTATTCCATTAGTCGGTGGTGACAAAAGCAAGGAGACGGATATTCCCCTAAGCTTCTTCCTTTGGTATGTTTCAGTTAAGCTCTTCTATAATTCTTTCACAGGAAATGTTGAGAGAGAACAGAAAACAAAAGTAATTATGTTATCCTTACAACATGCATCTGAAAACACCAAGCCATGATAATCTACTGTCTGAATTAAAAATAAATGCATGGATAACCGTATGGATCTCATTCCCTTGAAGCACTAACTTATTTAGCCACCAACAGCATGAAAGAGGCACACTCAGTTTGAAATCTAGTTTTTGTTTTGTTTTTCTTTAAATCACGTAAAAGGACATTACAGATACTGCACCTGGCCCTGAATCCCCAGTGGGGACAATTTTTGATTATATTTATCTGATCATTTATCTGTTTTTCAAAAAACATTTTTCTTTTCCCATTGCTGTGCAAAAGGCCCATACAGAGTGCAGTCCAATGCACAGAGAAAAACTGAAAACAGAGAAATTACTTTTCTGAACTTTCTTGAGGTAATCTTAGGCATCCCTTGTAATAACAGTGGGGTTAAAAAAAAAAATCTAACAAATGCCATTTTTACATTGATGCCTCTCTTTAAGAAAGCTACATCAGTACAAAAAGGTTTATGGCCTGGTACTCAAAGGCGCTGCATGCAAACAATTTCCACTAAAGTGCATTGCAGCTGAGCACCTCCTAAAAAAAGGCCTAGATTTTCTTCCAGAGTGACCCCACCAAATTTTTATTCTAGTCTACTAGTCTACCTTAATTAGGGTTCATTTACCAGTGTATGAGCTCATTAACTCGGAGGTTTAGCCACAAAGCCTACAGCGATGACCAAGTGCTGTTGGCATATCCAGTGTAATTTAATTTTTTTTAAACACTGGAAATAACCAATTTAAAGAGAGATGTCAATCTCACAAAGGCAATTTTGATGTCCATGTAGAGAATGGGTTTTCTGAGTCAACTTGGGATCACATAAGCATCTGACATTTAACTCTTGGATTCCTTGTGGCTCGATACACATAAATAGACTCTCTTTAGATCTTATTTCTGGGTTGGGAATGTGAGGATCATACCCTTGTCATGCTATCGTTATGTTTTTCAGGTGGAAATCAAGGCTCATTTTTGTTCTCATCAGGGTAGAAGACTTTTTTCCATTTATTCTGTCTGGGAAAGTAATGGACCAGGTTGGATTGTATACTTCTGTGGAGAAACACTCTACAGCCAGCAGCCTACTTTACTGATGGCCGGTTAGGACATTATGATGATTTATCACCTTCTGACACACTGGTTCCTTAGTAACCCCCCCTTTTTAAGCTATTCCCACAGGTCATCCTGGTAATATGGATGACCCATTTGTAACAGCAGCCAATAGAGGCTAGATGGCAGGGGTCAGTATCCCCAGTCTCCAGTGGTCACTGTTGAAAGGCTAGAGCCTGAAAGATGGTAGTGTGGAGCATTTAAGTCTCAGGCAATGCTGGTTTTGGTAGTGGAGAAGTAAATGCCACCACTTCCTCTGTAAATTTAAGTCAGCAACACTGTTTCATGTACTGGCCAGCCAGGTAAATCTAAGTGGCTTGGAAAATAAGTCAACATTTTTTTTTACTACGAGAAACTGCTTTGTGGATAATGGAGGGCAAGGTGCTGAATTCCTTCAAACATACTGTCCAGCTCTTGCTCAAGAAAACATCTTAACAAATATTGCCAGTGGTTGGCCTTTCCCCAACCTTTCCTTTGCTGAAGAGGTAGCTAATCAACTCTGGTGGCATCTGGACTCCTCTGCTTTTTTTCAATTTAGTTCAAGACCTGTATATGATCTGGAGGCTATATTAGCTAGATTGATTATCTCCTTGTAGTGATGAACAACCAAAGGTCAGCTGTTGACCATGCTGATTATTCTAGCTCTCTCTGCAGACCAAGAAACAGGAATCTTGAGATAGTATTTACTTTCTCAAAGACTCTGGCAGAAGTGTACAAGGTCACACTTCCATTAATACATTCTTTCCTCTAAAAGTTCCCAGAGTAATATGAACAATTCTCTACCATATGGAGGCTCAATAAGGTTATGTCACCCCTCCCCCATGTAAGGCTCCATAAGGATGCATCACCACTCCTGTTCACATTTGTGAGGCCTCTAGAGAAGATCACAAGAGAACATGGGCTGCAATGTTATCAATATATGGAGAACTCACAGCTCAGACTCAGACAAGGCTTCCACAGTCCCTGGTAAAGATAATAGTTTGGAATGAGAGTTGTCTGAAACTCAATCCAGACAGGATTGAGGTGATGCTGGTGAGTAGAACAGGTAATCTAGAGGAAATGACAGAGATGATGTTTTTTTGTTTTGTTTTTTGGAACACTGGCAATCTGGGGCCATTTTGGATCTTTAGCAGCTACTGGATTCCTAAGTAGAATCAACATTTATCTGTGCACAGCTAGGAGGCTGGGACTTTTCCTCTCAGAAGCAGACATCACCAGTTAGCCACACCTTTTGAGTTCTCCAGCTTAAATGAGTGCAACCATTCTACAAACATTCACATCTCCACCTTTGGCCAATGAAGTCACAAAACAGTGGTGTGTTATCACAGAAGACTTTTCATTGCATGAAGTATTCTTTCCAATTATTTAATATATTTAAGAGGTGTACAGCTAACACAGTTAAGACCTAACATATATTGGTGCTAACTTACCTCCATAAACATCATCCATACAGATAACAGTGTCTCCCACCTTTAACAAATGTGTAATATTCACAGTAGCTGCTAAGCCTGAAGCATAAGCTAAACCTAGAACAGAAAAAAGAATCACTGTGGCAGAGAACAAAGACACATTTATATTTTATAGAGAGATGTCTTTACATCATGTTATGAACATAAAATTTCTGTCACCCCCATTTTCCTGTTTAGTGTCAATGTTTTATAAAGGGCCAGACTCTTACTTAAACTGAATAGTTACTGCGTGAGTAGGTCCACTGAACTGCAGAGTGGAGTTGATATTTATGTACTAACCATTGTTAGCACTTTTGATTAAAGAATATTAATTCAGGTATATTCTAAGAAAAAAGATCACACCAGTGAAGAAGCTGACACTTGAAGTAAATGCTGACAGCAAAAGCTGAGTTAAATGATTTACTGTTAGTGGTCAAACTCCAGTGCTCCAACCCTCTTAGGATACTTTTATTGTAGTCCACTCTGAAGATACACATGCTGACATATTTCTTAATGAAAATGCTGAGAGCTTACAGTACTTGGCTCCATCCAGTGCTGCTACAGCCTTTTCCAGGCAATTCCGAGTAGGATTTCCACTACGGCTATATTCGAAACCCTGTGATGAAAATAAGATACAAAAACAACAGTAAGTGCTGGGGATTTTGGAGGAGGTGCTGTACAATAATATAGTTAGCTAAACTTGTACTGACAATCACCTGTCTTAAAATTTGGTAAAATCCTAGACCATCCAAGAGATCCATATTCCTAACACTAAGTTATGCATCCAAAAAAATAGCCACCTGCTATCACAAGTTGTTGTAGACCTCCCCCCCCCCCACAGGGATCCAATACCTGTTGCTTGTCAGAACAGAAGACAACCTATTTGCAGTCAAACTAAGCACTCTCATACGCTCTAGTAAGTCTTTTCTCTGAGTCATAACCTAAATTTCGCTGGTAAGGTTTTAATATGTCCTGTTATATTTTGTTGATAATTAGTCTCACATTGAAAGACTACTTTTACTAAAAGGGGCTTCTATAGTTCAATTCCAAGCATTAACATTTATCCCTCCATTTTGGGAACTGAAGCTAGAGCTTCAGCTGTGTAAATTTGTACAGCTCCACAGATTTCATGTAGCTATGCTAATTTACATCAACTAAGAATCTAGCCTGTACGTCTAAGTCACATACAACTTTTAAAACTTAAAGGTTAGTATGGGAAATCTGGATGCAGTGTGTGCTCATTAAAGTACAGGCTGTATTATAATGAAGATAAAATTTTACAATAAATTAATTTGCTACCATTTTAAAAATAACTCCATTTTTGGCACCAGCTGATTTTAATCATCTTATTCTAGCAATAATTTTATGAGACTCCCTCATGGACATTCAAATAGGATATAATAATCTCTGGTACTTTGCAAAGTGTCCATGCACTTTGCCTCCCATTGAGGTCAACTGGAGTTAATCAGTATTTCAGGCCCAGGCTCAAATATTGCGTAATTGGGGCTTGATCCTGCATCCATTGAAATTAACGGTAAAGATCCTACTGGCTTCAAATGATGAAAGACCAGGTCCTGAATCCTGTTCCACAATTCTGGAATGCAGTGCTGTCTCAAGTCTTCAGCAATGCATGAGTGTCACACAGGGATGCCAAAATGTATAATTGGTAGTCACATGAGCTGCCTCAGAACAAATGTTTACCTATCTGCAATAATAAACTGAACTGAATCCAAAACCTCCAGGGCTAATCAAAGGGAAAGATGAGCTTCCCTTTTAAAAAGAAAAGGAGTACTTGTGGCACCTTAGAGACTAACCAATTTATTTGAGCATGAGCTTTCGTGAGCTACAGCTCACTTCATCAGATGTTTACCGTGGAAACTGCAGCAGACTTTATATACACACAGAGAATATGAAACAATACCTCCTCCCACCCCACTGTCCTGCTGGTAATAGCTTATCTAAAGTGATCAACAGGTGGGCCATTTCCAGCACAAATCCAGGTTTTCTCACCCTCCACCCCCCACCTGTTCAAATCCAGAAAACCTGGATTTGTGCTGGAAATGGCCCACCTGTTGATCACTTTAGATAAGCTATTACCAGCAGGACAGTGGGGTGGGAGGAGGTATTGTTTCATTATTCTCTGTGTGTATATAAAGTCTGCTGCAGTTTCCACGGTAAACATCTGATGAAGTGAGCTGTAGCTCACGAAAGCTCATGCTCAAATAAATTGGTTAGTCTCTAAGGTGCCACAAGTACTCCTTTTCTTTTTGCGAATACAGACTAACACGGCTGTTCCTCTGAAACCTTCCCTTTTAACACACACAACACTCTGCCAGTTGCAAGGCAGGTGCTGCAGAAAGCTTGTCAGTAGATTTTGAAAGCCACCAAAAATTCTGAAAGTCTGAAAAATTATGATCCTCAGAAGAACAAGTATTTTCTTGGCACAAGTCATCCTAAATTCCAACTGGCATGTTGGGAAGACCTTCACTGGTGCAATAAGCCCAACAGCCCTGAAAGGGGCATTGGAGCTCTGTCTAAAGAAACTCAACAGGGAAAAGGAAAAAAAAAAAAAAGAAGAAGAAGAAGTGGGGGTGGGGGAGAGTCTGGCTAAGTATTCTGATGTCTTTCTAGTTTCAGAATCCCTGTATAAAGAGATTCTTCATCCTGTTCTGGATTCTGATACAAGCTCACACAAGGTAAAGAAGTTATCTTTGAACTTGCAGTAAGAATGTGGCTCAGAAAGTTGGATAAAAAGTATATTCCATTAGCTCTCCTGTATTTCTCTTCTCCAATTGACTGTAAACAGCTTGTGATTATTTCCCATTTTAACTCAAATTTGGCAAATAATTATTGGTCTATCACTCATTCACAAGTATTTGATATTTAAATTTAAATTCTGTCAGGAGGACAGTGAGAGGACACACTGATCACATGGTACGTTTCCATTCCTTAGTTAAATAAGGGTAATGCTTAGAATCAGGGTTTTGGTGGGGAGCGGCAGGGAGGATATCACATTTATGAATTCAAAAGTTTATTTTTCACAATTATTGCCCAAAGTCTGCTTAATTCTTAGTTTCCACAAAAATTTCTGCCAGTATTCTCTATTATATTTATGGAAAGCGAGCAGCAAATGTTTGCTAACATTGTTGGAAGACAGGATACTGGGCTAGATGGACCTGTGGTCTGACCCAGTAGGGCCATTCTTATATTCTAATTGAAACAAATTAATTTAACGATACTGAGGAGGTTTTTCTGTGGTTGTTGTTTATTACAGTATGGACCCAGATTACATTCTGCTATCAAATTTCAGCTGAAGTAGTATTCTGCTTGCCCACAGACCACGTGATAAATGACAGAACATTCATCTGGCTTTCAGTTTCCTGATGTCAAAAGCACTTCATGGAATCTACACCAACGTATCAACAGAGAGTCAAAGGCACAAAGAGGAGGAATTAGGTACTCAACTCCAACTGACTTTTAGTTTGTCTTGGAAAATTTCCCTCAGAGGCTGTATGTTTTTTCAGATCATGGGGAAATCTCTACGTGGAGGGAAAAGATTGATGTTGCTGGCTTCATTTGTTTACTTAAGTTAGTATTAGGGAGGGATAGTAATATTTGGACCTGCACACATGGGTCATTTTTTTAAAATGACTATTGATTTAGGGTGCTTAATTTGAGACATCTTAGAGGGCTCTGATTTTCAGGGGGCAGGTACTCAGCACTTGTTTAAAGTCAGGCCCCTTCAATATGTCTCAAGCTGGGCATCCAAAACATCACTAATCAGGTAAAGATCTTGGATCCTAATCAATGGCATTTCAGTCTCTGAACTCTGCCAGCAAGCATTGTTTCCTTTCAGCCTATAGTACAACCCGTTCTCTAGCATAATTTGTAGTTTATGGCGTATTGCATTGCTTTTTGCTCTGCTCTGCAGTATGACCACTTTTTAGTAGTATTACAGTTAAGAGAAACTGTAAGGACTATAGAGACTAACAAATTTATTTGAGCATAAGCTTTCGTGAGCTACAGCTCACTTCGTCGGATGCATCCGATGAAGTGAGCTGTAGCTCACGAAAGCTTATGCTCAAATAAATGTTAGTCTCTAAGGTGCCACAAGTACTCCTTTTCTTTTTGCGAATACAGACTAACACGGCTGCTACTCTGAAACCTGTAAGGACCATATATCCATGCCTACAAACTATCAAGGAACTTTTTCTATTACTCTTCTCCCATACTAATACTACCGGGAAATCAGACTGAAGGCAGAAATACAGTCTAATGACCTGATTCTGATCCACATTCATCTAATTGTGGGAGAAATTAAGGCTCCAAGCTGACTAGTCTCAGAGGAAAACAAGTTTGCCTTCTCTTGACTCATGCTACAATTCTGCGCTAACGAAGCAGAAACAAGGGAGGGAATTATGTTTTTCTTCCAGCCTGTTTTGCATTTTTACTTAGGGCTTCTCTACACAGGGAGAAAGTCTAAAGTAGCCGTTGTGCACTAGCTATTCTGCGTTAACCCCACCCCCCCAAGTGGATACCCTTACTGAGCACTGAAAGTGCCCCTATGCCTATTAACATACTTCCAATCTGAATTAAGTTAAGCTAAACTACCTAAGGGTACACTTAATGCACAGTAAGGGTGTCCACACAGAGAGACAGGGTAAGAATGTAGAGTACACTACCTACTCTACACTAACTTACTGCACACTACCTCCCTCGGGCAGCCAAGCCCCTTCTTTCATCATTCTGACATTGCTAGACTTTCATGCGTTAAATGGTTAAAGAGTTAAAAACTTTATTAAACATTATAAATGTTGATTTTTAAATGCATAACATGTCTCTGCACTGAGTATTTAATGATGGATATACTGCTTTGGACAGGTGCTATTTGGGCAGCTGCCACCTGGTTTATGAAACTTCCAAGCTGTGTTTTATATAAAGTGCAGTGACAAAGGATTTCTGTTCTGTGATATCCCCTGGAATCTCTAGAGTTAAAAATGAGTCTGCATTTCCACCCTCAACCTTTTTGTGATAGAGAGGAGGATTATTTACACCAATCATAGAGAATTTTTGTTTTTGGCTGAAACTTGGCATACTGGAAAGCGCCTTCTCCAGGGAAAATAAGTTTGTTTTGCAAAATAGAAAATTGTTGGGACTTTTTAAAAACTCTTCAGCTGTCAATAGTTTGCTGCTTTACATCCTTTTTGTGCCCCGAAACTGGATTTTAAAAAAAACACACCACTATTTCCAGTCTGAATGGACAGGAAACAAACTGGTTTCCCTTACAAATGTGCGTGTTTACATGTGCATAATTTGTGTAACGGTCAGAGCTGGACCTACAGGGACGCACGTTTCTGCTTTAGAGGGGAATAAACCTTCTACCCCACCTCATTTCCGTACAGGCGAAGAGAGCCTTTGAAACCATCTGTTCCATTCCTCTCATCTAAAACAAAGCATCCGTGACCCGCTCGCTCACTCCCCACGTTTCCCTTCGCTCCGCATCACCCCTTCCACTCCTCCCTCGCAGGAGTCCCCACTCACGCAGTGCTGGCCGGGCGCCTGCTGCTTGAAGGTGGTGGAGAGAGAAATGGGGGGCACCACGGCCATGGAGGTCCATTGCTCCGGCTCCTGCCCAACGTGGATGGCCTGAGTGGCGAAGTGCTCGAAGGGCGGCAGGAAGCCCTGGGACCCGTCCTCAGCCTTCTCCATGGGGAGCTGTGGCGGCAAGAGGACCGAGGAAAGCGGCTGGTGTTGGCGTCTGCGAGGATAGGAAGCAGGGCTGGCTCAGCGGTAGGTGCAGCCGGCCGCTGTAATATACCGTGCCAGCAGCCGCGACTGCCTGCAAGCCAGCAACCCCGCCTTGCATTGCACAAAGCGGCTGGGGGAGGAGACTAGGCCGGGCGCCGCCACCTGAGCCTTGTCCCTCATTGGCGCAGGATGGAGGGCGTTGTGGCGTACCCCCGCCCCGGCTGCTGACCTTGGGAGGCCCCGGCCTCTGAGGAGCCGGGCGGGGACCGGCGGGAGCTGACGTGCCTCTAAAGCTGCCCAAGGAAGCATTGCTGCTCCACTGGCATTCGCGGCCCATGAACAGGCGTTTGCATGCATAAAACGAGAACTTGCCAGGGAGACAGCAGTGTAGGCCCAGGCCACAGACACTCCCTGGGGATAACACAGTAATAGTCGCTTTCGGGTCCATTGCACCCTCTTACTGTTCCATACCACTTGAGGGATCCCAAAGCACCTTACCCACACTATAACCGGGGTAGAAAGGGGAGTGGAGTGCAGAACTCCCCTGGCTCTGCTAATGCACAAAGTCCGCACCTGGCCTTGGTTTGGTGAAGCAGAGCGCTCCTTCCTCCTGGCTTGGTGCTCTCAGAGTTTGCCCTCCTCTTTCGGTTTATTTTAACCACTCTGTATCTACAGCACCCTTGAAGTGCAGCTGGCTCTGGGGCAGAAGGCGGCCATCCAACTGACCATAGCAATCCTCAACACGTTTCTTTCTGCACAACATCTCTAATACACAGTCTTTCCTATCCATAGCTAAAATTCTTGGCCAGATTCTCATCATCTTGTGTGGTTATCGCTACAGCAGCCTTTTCTCTAGCCTTGACAAATGCAGTGTTGCCCCACTTGTATCCAGTCAGCATGCTGCTGCTGCAAAGATCATTCTGCAGACTTGCTGCTTTGAATATATCACCCCTCTCTTTGCATCTGTCCACTAGCTCCCCCTCCTCCGTGTGTCAAACAGAACTACTTGTCTTCACCTTCAGTGCCCTTCACAGCCTCTCTCTCCTTCACCACTGAGATGGCAACTCCTTGCCTCCAACTGGCCAATGATGCCAGCCTCCATCACCCACCAGTTACATTTTCACACAAGCACCTTTGTGCTTCTTCCCATGCTGCTACACTTAAGAGCATGAATATCCATAAAGCTTCCTCATTGTCCTCTTCTAAATCCCTCCTTAAAATGTGCCTTTTCCGCGGTGCCTACAAACAAACTTTATAGCAGTTCGGCTGTTGGCATGCTGACCCAATTGCCAGTCATGCTGACTAATACTGTTTTATTGTTTCCTTGTACTTTCCCATCTGTTTTTATCCAGCAGTTGTCTCATCTTATATTTAGATTGTAAGCTTTTTGGGGTAGGGACTCTGCTTCCGTTCCATGTTTGTACAGTGCCTAGCACATTGGGATCTTGGTCCATGAGTAGGGGTTATGGGCACCATGATCATATAAATAATAATTGGGGAGGATTGTGGCCAAAGACACCAGGGTAAAATACTGTGCTTAGGAAAAAGCATGTGATCTTTTTGGTGACTATGCAGAACAGACCCTATTTATTCATAGTGTCTCATTTAAAAAAAAAATAAATAAAAGCCCCGATCTCTTGTAAGAAATCTAACCCCACCCTTTGCATTCACACAGCATGCAACGCAATGTAACTATTGCAGGAGAAGGAAGGGATGAATAAGTCCTTCTGTAATTTGAACCTATGATTCTAGATGGTAGTTGTTTCTCATTGAGCATTGACAATATACTTTGTACAAAAGGAGTACTTGTGGCACCTTAGAGACTAACCAATTTATTTGAGCATAAGCTTTCATGAGCTACATCAGAGTGTGCATCCGATGAAGTGAGCTGTAGCTCACGAAAGCTTATGCTCAAATAAATGTTAGTCTCTAAGGTGCCACAAGTACTCCTTTTATTTTTGCGAATACAGACTAACACGGCTGTTACTCTGAAACCTGTCATACTTTGTACAGTTCCAGTGTTTCTACTGGGATCTGAAAATCTTCCTTCCTCATCATTTAGCCTCCACTCTATTTTTCCTGCTTTTTAGGTTTCCTTGCACCTTTAGCAAGTAGACATCTTTTAATCAGTATTTATTAATTCCACAGCATCAAAGATGTACGTAATGATTTATATAACATGTAACTTAGATATGGGATTGACTTAAAGAGTTTACAGTCTAAACTGGGTGCCTGCAATATAAACAATAAAAGAAAGAGATACAGCAATGAGGATATAGAATCATAGTCAGGAAAAAGGCAAAACTTGAGAGTGGGGGATGGGACAAATGGAATATTAATATCCCTTTGTATCATTTAATTCACACACACACACACAGAGCGCAAAAGGTACTTTTACCAGTAAGAATATATTACTGCTTGTTTTCATTGTATCCATTTCCCTAAATATCTTTTTTATCCTTGAAAGGGGTTTGTCACCAAACTTTTAACCTAGTTACAAAACATGGCTCTGGGCCAATCTAAAGTGCAAATGAGGACCATTGTCTTGATTCTCCTCTCACTTACACTGGAGTAAATCCATGGTGTAGAACAAATGCAAAAGGAAATTCTGGCTTGTGTTTTTAACAAGGTTGGGGGAAATGAGCGGACTTTTCTCTAACATTAATAGTCATGACCTTATTTCTGTGAATAGGGGTTCTTAGAGAAAACACTCACTCAGCTAGTTTGTACAGTAATGTGCAGGATGGTTTTGCCGCTGAACTGTAAAAAAAGATGCAGTAGAGCTCTGTATTGGTAGAGTTTCTGTTTATTGTCATGGCTGACAATTCTGAGTAGCATTACCCTTTTAAATACTGGGCCCTTTCCAGCTAAAATGAGGTTGAACGACTACTGGCTCTAGGAAGAATGTGTACCTTTCTAGCCCAAGCCACATCCCCAGGTTCAGCCTGTGATGCCCCTTAATCCTATCATTGTATATGGCAATCTGGCCCCTAGGATGACACTGAAGTCCTCCCCAAACATGTTCAGTGAGCCCCCTAATGTCCTACTGTGAGACTATGCTTTCCTTCACTGACTGAATATCAGTTATTTGAGGAAGAAATTTGAAGGAGCCATGACCAAACTTATTGGGCACTTCCTGCTTGAAAGCTAGCAGTTCAGTTTCACAGGTTAGCAAGGGAGAGGAAGAAAGATGCTTAGGTGGTCTGAAGTGTATCTCTCTGCTCCACTCCAAAGGTAAGCAGGGTGCCCAATGACTTCCCCTCCCCAACAGACAGTACATCTTCCACGTAGCATGGTACAATATAGAAGATAAACTATACAAGTGCACTGGGAATATGCCTCATTAATGGGGGAGGATATGAGATCCTACCAAACACAGAGTTCCTAGGAAGTGGTTTCATATTATTTTAATATTCTAGGTCCATAAACCAAGCATAGGCCCATACATACACAAATGCTCTACAACTGCAGAAGAATGAGCTTACGAACCAAGTAAAATATGAAGCATTCATTTGAGTGAGCTTCTCTTTCCCAGGCTGCTATGCAACTCACTGCCAGAGCTTAGAAGGAGGCTGTTTTTGTTTTACGGCATTAGCAGCTGGCTCACCTTTCTAACGAATGCCTCAGCTTGCTACAGAGTCAGTCTTCTTCTCTTTGTGTGACTCAGAAAAATGAAACTATTTCATACTGCAGCTGATCTATTATTATAGGTGGATCACATCAGAACATTTATATTGAAGGTTACACAAGGGTTTCTATTCCAAGACCCTTTTCGAGTACTTAGAACTTTCTCCAGTTTTTATTTTTCACAATGAATTTTCAATCTTTGGTCTCAATATTTCTTGGTGAAGTTTGAAAAGAGTGGGAGACAACTGCCGCCACACATTTGTCATTATAAACATTTCCTTCTCACCCCCGCCCACCTCAGCAGCAGATGGTAGGAACTTGAGATCTGGAAGGACTTAGGTAGTACCTAGGTCACAAATATGTTTTTCAGTGGTCAGCAGAAAATCTTTTTACATTTTGTCAAAATCTAAGAGTTAAAAAAACACGCTTTGCATGGTTACTTTTATGAATAGGACACCAGAAGAAGCGATCGATTCCACATTTCTTGAACATGCGAAACTCCTACTAATTTCATTAGATCATAGGCAGACCTTTCATTTGTTCCTTTACGGTCACTCTTATATTGTGAGAGGCCTGGGTGGGTAGACTGAGGTCAAGGAGAAAATAAAATTCCATTTCTTCCATGTAGAATCTTGTTCCCTACCCCCAGTTTGACACATCACCATATCACATTATTTTGTTTCTGTTCTTGGAGGGATTCCGTAGGGCTTTCTCGAAATATTCAGGATCACCTTTAGTGTGGTAACTCCTTTCAGACTCCAATAACCTAATATTTGGTTCTCAACATTTTTCATTCTATGGTACACCAGAAGAGGCTCTGTCCTGGTTCCATGGACTACAGTTTGAGCAACCTCAGAACAAGGAGAATTCTTAGCAAATACAAATATTTATAAACAAACAGCTTCAGAAACAGTGACAGCCCCAAAGGAAAGGAGAGAGTTATATAACACTTCTTATTAAGAAGGATCCTGGAGTTTTGTCAGTTCTAATTTCTTTATTACCTGATTTTGCTCAAGCTTAATTTTCTCCAGCTGTTATTCTTTCTCCTCTTGAGAAATATGTCTCATCTGTATCAAGTCAATCACTGTGAACATTAAGACAAAATATAATTAAAGTTTTTAGATCAGGCTGGTCTAGCTAGTTCCATTTACTATCTTCAGGGGGTTAGTTTCGTGTTTTTCTGTGCCTGGGAGGAAGCAGGTGGGAGGGTAGCATATCTCTTTACATATTTTCAGATAAGGAGGCTTCCAATATTTCAGTAGGAAGGTTTTATTTTTGAGCGTAAATATTATTATTAATTGGATTGGTAATAAAAAGAAATCCAGATACACTAATGAAATAATTTAGTTGTTCTTCTCTTGCTTTGGATTTTGTGCAATTTTTCTTTTACCTCTTTATTCTTGCCTGCCTTTCGCTTCCTACCTTGTTTTGGTGCATTTCCCCAGATCTCTTCAATTATTTTCACATTTCCCTACTGGCTCTTACTTTCAAACTTTTCTACCATCTCCCCCATCCAGCTCTTTGGCCAGAGAGACGGTTGCTGTGATACAGAGTATCTTACAAAATTCCATATCGTCTTACTTTCTTCCTCCATCTTATGGGCCTTGCATTATCACTACCATCCTACCAGTCAAAAAGAGCTGGATGCTACTCCTTGAGTCAGCTAGAGGAACTCTTTAAGAAAGCCACGAGGTACTCTCTCCCTTACGGCTTGGTGTACTGTCCCTTTAGAGCTTGGTCCCAAATGAATATGCAAAAACACTGATGACCAGTGCAGCTCCCTGTCCTTTTGTCAGTCTTCTCTCTGTAGTCTAATTGTGTGTCTCTCTCCCCACCTTACCCCCTTGTTTAGTTTATCTTCCTCAGTCTGATTTTAGCCATGATAGATTAGCCACTGGGCCAATGGGGCCCATGCCCAGGGGCCCCAGCCAATTGGGGCACCCCAGTGCATCGCGCTCCTGCCAAGGTGCATGGTCGGGGCACAGGGGCTTCCCCCGCTCTCCCCAACCCCACCCGCAGCAGGAGTGCCAGGCAGGCCGGGGAAGTCCCTGTGCCCCAACCCCACTCCCCAGCAGGAGTGCCAAGCATGAGGGTGGGGCAAGCCCCTGTGCCCTGATGCCATTTCCCCAGCAGGAGTGCCAGAGAGAGGTGTGGGAGGGGACTGCAGGCGCAAGAGGTGGGGAGGGGCCCCCACTTGCTGTGGCCCAGGGCCCCACAAGCCCCTAATCCACCTTTGTATTTTAGGATTTATTATTGCTGCTGCTCCTGTTGGGAACTCTGGTTGGGAAGCACTGTTTTAAAAATAAATGCAATTGTTGAAGGGAGGTGGGGGCTCTGACATATAGGAAAACGTGTGACTGATAAATTTAAATTCCTGCTTAGGGTGTGTCACAGGTTGACAGTGGCCCTTTTAGAGGGAAGAAGCCAGTGCACCTATGACTGGTCACTTGAACCTCAATTAGGCTTAACAGATGGCACTTGGACCCCAAAGGAAAGGCTAGTGGAGAACTGTCTGAAGGAGAACAGTAACTATGAGCTGCTAGTGAGGAGCTTAGAGAAAAGCTGTTGTGAGAACTGACCAAAGCTAGGTCCCCTCAAGAAGTGGCCCACTAGGAAAAGGGAAAGATCCAGCTTGGTCTTGGCAAGACCCACCCCAGTCAGTCATCCTGGGAATTAGCTTTTTTCACCTGGAGTGCCCTCTGCAGGCTAGTGCCTCGCTGCTGCTGGCCCCCATGTCCCTCCTGGACCCATGCCCCTTGTCCTCAGGCGCTGCCCCCTGGCAGTACACCTGCTCTCAGGGTCTCCCCACCCAGGGGAACCCCCACCCACTATCCCCCTCTTGCCTCACTGACTACTGCCAGTCACCATCTAGCCCCCTTTCACTGGAGCCAACTGCAGTTTGTATAAGCTAATCATCACAGGCAAGGGGGGTTTCGACTGGGTGCCTCTGCCTACCCTGGGCTGCACCCTTGCACCTTTCTGGCCTTTGACAAGGCTACAACCTGGGGCTTTTCCTCAGGTACTCTGTTCAGCTTCCCAACAGCCAAGCCCTTTGACAGAGACTGTCTGCTCCTGGTCCACTGCCCTCTTTTAAGGGCCAGCTGGGCCCTGCTTGGGCTGTGGCCACAGCTGAGGCTGCTTCTCCATTCAGCCTTCCCCAGCCACAGCCCTCCCCCGGGGCTGCTTTTAACCGCTCAGGGCAGGAGCGGGGTAATTACCCCACTACAGTCAGGAAAAGCTGAGCCTAGAAGCAAGATTATTGTTGCAGGAGGTTTCAGAGTAACAGCTGTGTTAGTCTGTATTCGCAAAAAGAAAAGGAGTACTTGTGGCACCTTAGAGACTAACCAATTTATTTGAGCATGAGCTTTCGTGAGCTACAGCTCACTTCATCGGATGCATCTGTAGCTCACGAAAGCTCATGCTCAAATAAATTGGTTAGTCTCTAAGGTGCCACAAGTACTCTTTTTCTTTTTGTTGCAGGAGGGTGGATTCCCAGGCAGGGAGGGCTGGAGGAATGTCACACTGCAGCAGGGGGAGCCCTCTGGGTGCAGATCTGAGTGAAGGGCTGTAGGAAAAGTGAGAGGACAGGGAGACCTAGATACTGGGTCCCTGGATCAGGGACAAAAGAAACTGGGACCAAAGTGCTGTTATTGACTCTCAAGTGGATGACCTACAGAAGGGACAGAAAAAGACAACTGTTGTATCTTTGAATATTTGTTGTGGAAATTAGAAAATGGTTTTATTACAAGGTCTTTGGGTAATTTTTGCACTGGTATATATAAATAATGTCCTTAGATGGGCTTTGTAACAGGCACTATGGGAAACTATGTTCTTTTCATTGGCAAACAGCAGAGGAAACTGAGGCAGACACATCTGCTATTGTCTAGCCTACTGCTGAAGAGCACCCCAGTGGTGGCTGCTTTTCCCTGGGTGCATGTGGTTTATGTTTTTTATAAACTTGCTCTAGGGACTTCCATAGGTCAGCTTATAATTATGCATTTATGCATATACTAAATTTATCTCTATCTAAGTTGTAAAACAAGCTTTACCAGATTTTTTTTTATAAAAGAACGGATCTGATAATTAAAAAGAAGAGGAAAAACCTTAAAGGGAAAAAACGTAATTTAGCATAGCTTCCAATCACTGGCTCTAAATCAGCCCCAAACCAGTGGTGTGGTTGTTGAAGTGGAACACAGTGTGCCCCCCTCTCTTGGCTGAGGGGAATGTGGACAGTTATGTTCTGCAAATGTCAAGTATAAGGGGGTAGCCGTGTTAGTCTATATCCACAAAAGACAACAGATTAGTCTTTAAGGTGCCACCAGACTCCTTGTTGTTCTGCAAATGTAGCAAGAAAAAGGGAGCCAAACCAAGGTTTTTCAGAAGAGGTTAGACAAACACCTCTCAGGAGCACTGTTCCCTTTAAGCTGTGCACATATGTGCACGCACACAGATCCTAAACCCCACACACAGAAAGAAACACCGCACGCACAAAAAATGAAATACTACATCGGAGCCAGGCCGAAATATCATTTACGGGTGACTTTTGAGATTGTTTGCCCGCCATCTATCAACACAGCCAGATTCTACTACCTGGCAAGAGGGGGAAAGGGAAAGGAAGTTAAATTTCCTTTTTCTAAGTATTTAAAAATGACATAAAATAACATGGTGTAAAACTATTATCACAAATTGCAAATCAAAACTTTTTAAATGTATAAGCATTTTACTTGCTTGGGTGCATTTGCCGCATGGCGCACAAATTTGAACTCTGCTTCAAAAATTTGCATAGAAGAAATTTTTTGCACACATGGCCTGTCAAAAATTAGAGGGAACACTGCTCAGGAGGGACTATGTATAAGTAGATCAGGCCTTGCTGAGTGCAGGAAACTGGACTGGCTGACGTACTGAGGTCCCTTACAGTCCTACACTTCGATTTCTCTCCCCACAGGTCATGCCTAGAGGAGGGAGAAGCTGTATTAATAAGTGTGTTAAACTCCTACTGTAGGCAAAGTAGGTTACCAGGCCTAACTACGAGGTAGGACCTTTTTTTTAGTAGGAGTGTGACCAGTTAGGTTACCACAGCAGGGACTGACCTGGCAACAGCCTGGACTAAGAGCATCAGCGGCTTTACCTAAGGAGCCGGTGGCCGTGTGGAGCGGGCACGGGGCTCCCTGGATCACCCCTTACCAGGGCCTTGCGAGCTGTCTCGGGTCTGAGCCCCGCAGGGATCCCAAGGCCGACGGAGTCCCACTGCCCGCGGGGCCTCCCGGACTGAAGCCGGGACAGCCGGAGCTGCGGAAGGCTGGCGCTGTAACAACGCTGACCGCGGGGGCGCCACCCAGGGTTACAAGGGCCATGGCCGCTCGGCTGAGCCGTGACTACCGAAGCCATGACGGGGGCCGCAGCCGGCAGCGTGCGTCCTGCCTATCTCCGCGGGAGCCCCCATGCCGCTCAACGCCCCGCCCAACCCGCTCCCTGCGGCGGCGCCGACGTCTCAGCCGCCCCTCGCCGGCTGCCGCTGCTCCTCCTTTCACGCCAACTTCTCCGCGCCCAGCCGGGCCGCGGGGCTCTCGCGAGATCGCTTCGACAAGATGGCGGCGCGGTCGAGCCGCTGAGCGGAGCGGAGCGGCCGGAGGGGGAAGGGGGTAGGCAGACTGTCGGCTCCCCTGAGCCTGCTGCGTCCGGGCTGTTTCCCGTAGGGGATGCTGACGGGACGGGACTCGCCGCCGCGGCTCTGAGTGCCTCGTCCCCCCAGCAGCGCCTCCGGCGAGTCTCCCCGGCGGGGCCCCCCGGTCCCCGGGGCCGCCGCTGGCGATGACCGGAGAGAAGCTGCGCTCGCTGCGCAGGGACCACAAGCCCAGCAAGGAGGACGGGGACCTGCTGGAGCCTGGCGAGGAGGAGGCGGCGCCCGCGCCCGGAGGCGTCTTCACGGGGGGCCGTGGGAGCAGCGGCAAGGGCGGCCGCGCGGGGGGCCACCGCATCTTCAGCAGCCACCACCACCGGCTGCAGCTGAAGGGGGCCCCGGCCCCCGCCACCCCGGGGGGAGTCAGCCCCGCCGCGGAGCCCGACAAGTGCCCGGGACACTTCCCGGTTCACGAGTGCGTCTTCAAGGGGGACGTGAGGCGGCTCTCGGCACTGATCCGCACGCAGGGCATCGGCCAGAAGGACAGTCATGGTGAGTGTTGCCCCGACCCGCGCCTGCGGACAGCAGCCAGGGCCTCGCAGAGACTTCTCCTCACCCTCCGCTCCCAGGAGAGAGCCCACCGCCGCCGTCCCTGTGCTCCGCCCTCGAGCTGCCAGAAGGACAGGCTGGCTGACCACTTTCTTTGGGAATTCCCCGCTAGCCCAGTGGGTGCACCCTCCCGAACCCACCCATCTGTCATCTACAGCCAGGGCATCTCCCAGAAAGATGGCCATGAGCAGTGTGCCATAGGTTGCTTCCCAAGTTACTTTCAGGAACCCCCTTATCCAGACCCCAGACATTTGGTCAGAAGGACAGCCACGTTTCCCATTTCTTGGGGTTGCACCTCAGAAAAGCAATCATAGTGGGTGATTCTTCTTTGAAGCTCCCCCAAACGGTGGTCCACAGCTGGGAGCATAGTGCAGAATGATAACCACAGTGCCAGGGAGAGACATTTCCCTTCCATTTTCTCCCCTGCCCAACTACCAGTACTTTCTAGGAGGAAATTTTCCACAGTGATCTGCACCCAGGGCAAAGGTTTATATGATAAACCCTGGTAAGGTCTTGGGAAGGTTCCCCACTATCCCATTCTCCATTGGATGAGGCTTTCAGCATTGATCTGCATCCATGGGATGCATCAGATGGATTGGTGGGGAGATATTTCCACCCCACTCTGCTTATAGAGAGACTCCCCCATTCCTTCCCATTTACCTATGTGATACATTATCTTGGCTTCCGTTCCCCTCTCTGGGGGAAAAAACCTTCCCATATATGAAACTACAGAATCAGTCAGAAAGATGACAGTGAGTTTCTTAATTTTCTTCCCCATATACTCTGGGGGGGAGACTCTTTATTCAGACACCCTGTGACATTACATTACAATCTGGACTGATGAACAGCTGTCCCCTCTCAGTTGTCTAACTTGCCTTTTACACTGCTTTGCTGTGAGAGCTACCAGTCCTGGTCTGGTCACACTAAGGGTTTGTCTACACTGCACACATTTTAGCGACATGGCTGTGGCGCTACAGCTGTGTTGCTAAAAGGCATGCAGTGTAGCCACTGTTGGCAAGAGAGCTCTCCTGCAGACAGAAAACTTCCACCCCCAACAAGCGGTGGTAGTTTTGACAAACCACTTCAAAGCTTTTCGTAGGCAAAACTTTTTTCTTTCAGGTGGGTGGTTTTTTTCACACCCCGAACAATAAATGTCTTTATTATTCAGTCCAGTGTTGACAAAGCCACAGTCTCCCTCATTAAATTATACTGCAAGAGTGCTACAGCCAGTACCCCTTCCATCACACTGCAGAGCAACACCAGCAAATTCCCAGCCCCAGACTTTCCCCCAGAAATGTACCTCTTGTACTGCCCAGCACTGTTCTGGATAATACAAGCTCATATAAAGTCCATCATTTTATTAATAGAAAACGATGTGCACAAATCCTGTTATCCCAAATGGAGCTTCCCAAACACTTCAATCCAAACACACTTGTCTCGATAAAACAATAAAACGAGTTCATTAACTAGAGAAAGATAGATTTTAAGTGATTATAAGTAATGAAATATAAAAGTCAGAATTGGTTAAAAGAAAATAAAAGTAAATCTCAACTAATGCCTAACTTAACAAGCTAGAGTGAAATCAAAGCAAAGGTCTCTCTCACCACATGTTTTAGCATTCTTACTGGCTGAACCTTTCATTCAGGATCCCTCCCCAAGTCCAAAGCTGTTTTCTTTATTCTTTAGGTGTTTTGGATGCCGTGGGTAGAGAGAAAGGAGAAATAATTTGGTTCATCTCCTCTCTCTAGCTCTTTCTCTTGTTTGTGAATCATCTCCTGCTGTGGTTCAGGAGACAGCCTATGTGGATTGGAACCCCCAGCTGTTCGTTTGTCAAGATGTAGATTTTCACCCACATCCTCTTTCCTGCCAAAGTATTGCCACTTAATCAGATGATGGTCCATTTGGTTTTGATGATACCTGGCTGAGGCACTGGATAGCCTTTTGTCTCTGGGGAACTGGTTTTGGGTACTCCCCCCCAGACTTGGAACATGTCGAGTAATAGCATACAGAGGAATCCTGTAACTTTACATGCAAAGTTGCCACACATACTTTACCTGGACAATAATGATCAGCAAGTTATGAGTTTTCAAATAATACCTCACAAGGCATACTTTGCACCAAATTTATTATAATCCTGTAAAAGAGGTGAACATAGGAGTACAGCTACTGATGCCCACTTTAAGGACTGGTGGGATTGGGACAGTTCAGAATTTGGAGGAGAATCCTGGGGATATTGCTTCCCTAGGAGGCCTTCCTCTCATCCAGAAGCACTGGATTAGCCAGAAGCCATGGGGTTGAGTAGAAGAATAATTACGGCCAGTTCTTCTTACTGAACCAATCTCCCTTCCACTGTGGTGAGGCCCTCATCATCTTGCCTACCCCCTTTATTGTGAATTCCTTTCAAGCTTTCCTATTACGGTTTGTCAGGATAGATCCTTTGGGGCCAGATTCTTTCCTACTTCTTATCCAAGTGGATTCCCTGACACTATTCTTCTGCTATCTCTATTTGTGGTAGTCTTGTGTGGAACCTGGCAGTTAGCGATAGACTTGCTTACTATGATTTTTCTATCTCTTTGCAAAAGTAGAATTCATTCTCTCCCTCCTTCTGCCCCACAACAGCAGAGATTGAAGCCTTTCATCCTGAAACTATTGATGTAAACACAGGTTAGTGAACTGCATTGTAGTGTAAGGCTGTAAAAGCTTCCAATATGTAACATCTTTTCACATGCTCATAACTTGCCGACGATCTATGTTTGTGCAAATTCACCTCTGGACATTCATCAGTTTTGGCTGGGGAAAAACTTTAAAATAGTCAGAAGTGATTGAAAAATCACTTCCACGCATGCTCTAAGACTTGAGTGGAAGGATTTGAGCAGAGTTTTTTCCCAGCTGAAGGACACTCTGGATGAGTGATTGTAATGTAAACTCTTGCAAACAAAAATCCTCCAAAAAGATTCTGTAAAGTTGTGGATAGGAAAAAATAGGATATGTGGGGGGAAATATGAGGATTTATTTTTTAATGCAAGTGTAGGGCCTGTAACTTGTGATGTACACTTTGCAAATTCTTCATTTTGTTTTTAAATAAAAAATCTTTCCTTTGCTATGATACAGCTATCATAATGTAAACAAATGTACTACTGCCCTACTGATGTAGCCTAATAGAATACAGTTTCTAGATGTACAAGAGCAATGGCAAAGACTTGCCTCCTTCCCTAATTCATAAGGTTTGGACTTTCAAAGCCTGATCAAGGTCCCTAAAATACCAGTATTATCTTAAACCTGAAGTTTTCCGATTAAACAAATAGAGGATAAATCTGGAAAAATGGCAGGGAAGAAGGGGAAGGGATCTGCCTGCACTTACAAGATCTGCACGTGCCTCTAGGGAGGATGACTCTATATATACAAATTTTAATCTACAACTTTATTCAGCCTTACAGACTCTAAGTAACTTTCTTTCTGGTTCCTTGGATAGTTGTGTAAAATAGGTTTTACTATACCAAAAGAGCTTCATTTGTTGTCAGAAGCTTGTTGTCCACACTCGCTTTATGGCTGTTTGTATATGCATTGTGGCATCATGTTAAGGGAAAAGTTGGATTTTTGTACTAACTGTTCCATGAAAACCATTAATTTGGTTTTTAGACTCCATCATCTTCATAATAGTGAATCAAAAGTGTACAAACACTTGCAGCTAGAGCCTTTGAATCTCTGCTTGTACAGGTGCTGGATTTTGCATATGTGCTTATAAAAATGTTTTGTGCATGTAAACCCTGGAACCTAAAACACGTTTAAAACATGCATGTGCACTAGTGCTAGCTTGGATGAGCCCCCAGTGAAAGTCTGATCCTAAATGTGCAAAAACTCAATATCTAGTGAACTTCAGTCTCTTAATCTGGTCTGTCATCAGTTGTTTTATGGTGACAGGTTGCAAACTAATTTGATTTTCTCTCTTTCCAAACTCTTGCACTAATACGCACAACAGCCACTTGACGTTTTCATAATCATTTAAATAGCTGTTAGTACAAATTGACTTCTTATGCATGTCAGACCCTTAATAGTTGCAAAACTATAATGATCCAGTGGCTT